CAAATGTGGGGCTTGAACTCACAACCCCAAGATCAAGAGTCACATGCTCCACCAACTGAGGCAGCCAGGCGCCTGATCTTTACATTTTCATTATCATTCCATTCCAGATATTTTAAGAATTTCTTTTTTTTAAATAATTCTCTTTCTTTTTAATTTTAAAGATTTTATTTATTTATTTTAGAGAGAGAGCGTGAGCAGGGGGAGGAGCAGAGTAGGGGGGAGAGGGAGAAAGAATCTGAAGCAGACTCCATGTTGAGCGCACCTGTGGGGCTCGATCTCACAACCTCAAGATCATGAACTGAGCTGAAACCAAGAGTAGGACACCTAACAACTGAGCCACCCAGATGCCCTTAAGAATTTTATTATGATTTCTTCTTTGAGTCATGAATTATTTAGGACTATTTTAGAATTTCCAAATACATTGTTTAGGTTGTGTTTTTGTTTTTTTTTTTAATTAATCTAGAGAGAGAGTGCATGCACAGAGCCAGGGGGGTAGGGCCAGAGGGAGAGGGAGAAAGAGCCTTTTTAAAAAAAGATTTTATTTTATTTATTTATTTATTTATTTATTTATTTATTTAAGATTTTATTTATTTGAGACAGAGAGAATGAGAGAGAGAGAGCACATGAGGGGGGGGGGTCAGAGGGAGCAGCAGACTCCCCGCTGAGCAGGGAGCCCGATGCAGGACTCGATCCAGGGACTCCAGGATCATGACCTGAGCCGAAGGCAGTCACTTAACCAACTGAGCCACCCAGGTGCCCTATTTATTTATTTTAGTGAGAGAGTAAGAGAATATGCTAAAAGGATTTTATTTAATTTAGAGAGAGAGTGAGAGAGTATGCGCGGGGCGAGGGGCAGAGGGAGAAGGAGAATCCCAAGCAGATTCCACACTGAGCGTGGAGCCCAATGCGGGGTTTGATCGCACAACCCCGAGATTACAACCTGAGCTGAAATCAAGAGTCGTACACTGCACCAACTGAGCCATCCGGGTGCCCTGGGACAAAGAGAGTCTTAAGCAGTGCAGAGCCCTGTGTGGGGCTTGTTGAGATCATGACCTGAGCTGAAACGAAGAGTTGGCCGCTCAACCAACTGTGCAACCCAGGCCACCCTAGGTTGTATTTTTGATAGTGATTTCTTTTTTTTTTTTTAAGATTTATTTATTTATTTATTTGAGAGAGAGAAAGTGAGAGAGCACGTGTGCACTAGTGGGGGAAGGGGCAGAGGGAGAGAATCTTCAAGCAGACTCCCCGCTGAGCAGGGAGACAGATGGGGCTCAATCTCACAACCTTGAGATCATGAGCTGAGCTGAAACCAAGATTTGGATGCTTAACCGACTGAGCCACCCAGGTGCCCCTTGATATTGATTTCTAACTTAATTGCATTATCATAGAACATTATTTGTATAGTAAAGATCTTTACTGAGATTTGCTATATGGCCTATTTTGTGGTCAGTTTTCATAATTCTTAGAGAACTGTTGGATGCTGGGATAAAAAAATTGTGTGTATGTATATATATTTTAGATTAAGCTTATTAATTAGGTTGTTCACATTTTCTCTGTCCTTACTAATGTTTGGTAGACTCGATGTATCAGTAATTTATTTTTTTTTTAAAGATTTTATTTATTTATTTGAGAGAGAGAGAATGAGAGAGAGCGAGTACATGAGAGGGGGGAGGGTCAGAGGGAGAAGCAGACTCCCTGCCGAGCAGGGAGCCCGATGCGGGACTCGATCCTGGGACTCTGGGATCATGACTTGAGCCGAAGGCAGTCGCTTAACCAACTGAGCCACCCAGGCGCCCTGTATCAGTAATTTAAAATTGTATTTAAAATTTTCCACTACATAGACAGATTTGTCAGTGTCTCCTTGTGGTTCTGTTAATTTCTGTTGGAAATATTTTGAGGATGCCTTGCCCAAATATTTTGGGATGCCTTACCTGACACTGGCTGCAGTTGAACTTTGCCTACAGATAGTGAAACCAGTAAAGTAGTCTTGTGGCTACTTTCGCTTCAGTTTCGTGTTTATTGAAGTGGAAATTTCTGAATGGAAGGCCAAGATACTGCCTGCTCGGTGAAAAAAACATTTTACTAGAGACATCCAAGTTTAAGATTGTCGCATCTTCCTGGAAATTGTTTGTAGTGATTCTCATAATCTCTAATAATGCTTTTTGTCTTAGATTCTCTCTAATATTAATATAATGATACCAATAATGTCCTTACTAGTTTCTCCATTATCAATCTGTCCCTCTTACAATTTATTCTTCATACACAGTATTATTCAAAAAAGTAAATCTTTAGGGGTGCCTGGATGGCTCAGTCATTAAGCGTCTGCCTTCGGCTCAGGTTATGATCCCGGGGTCCTGGGATCGAGCCCCGCATCGGGCTCCCTGCGCAGCAGGAAGCCTGCTTCTCCCTTTCCCACCCCCTTGCTTGTGTTCCCTCTCTTGCTGTCTCTCTCTCTCTCTGTCAAAATAAATAAATAAAATCTTAAAAAAAAAAGTAAATCTTTAAGAAGTGTTTTTAGAAAATCAGATTATTTGATTCCATTCTGCCTAGGGAACAATTTTTCCCCTTCTCTGAATATATGATTTATTTATGTCTCTGAGTCACTTGTCATCGTCTTTCTGCTTCATTCTGCCTATTTCTGCTTGGTGAACTCTGCCTTATCCCCCAGAGTCCCAGCTCAGGTGTTTCCTTTGTACATTTTTTCAACTTAGTTACTCATTTTTTTCTCATACTTATTCTTGCATATGTTCATTTCTTTATTTCGTTCTTTCATTCATTTTTTTTTCCCTTTTATTTTCTTTCTGTCCTTTCCCCCCACCATGTTTTTTATGGATGTAAAATTTATATTCACTGAAATGCATAGACCTTAAAAGTACAGCTGGATGATTTGGTAAATTTTTATATCTTTGCAAACACCACCCCAGTCAAGATATAGAATATTTCCATCAGCCTGGAAGGGTATCTTGTGCCTACTTCTGGTCATTCTCCACTGTTTTGATTTCTGCCTATCATAGATTAGTTTTGCCTGTTCTTGAACTTAATGTAAAGAGAATCATACACTGCAAAGCCTTATGTCTGACTTCTTTAACTCAAACTAGTGTTGAGATGTGTCTGTTTTTATGTGTATCTATAGTTGATTCTCTTTTTATTGCAGGGTAGTATTCCATTGCATGAATACACCACAGTGTCTTTATCCATTCTCCTGTTGTTGGATATTTGGAACATTGCCAGTTTGGGGCTATTGTGAATAAAGCTGCTGTAAACATTCTTGTATGAGTCTCTGTAGACATGTTTTCATTTCTCTTAAGCAAATACCTATTAGTGGAATGCTTAGTCATGAAGTAGGTAGGTATATGTTTAATTGTATAAAAAACTGACAACAATATTTACTTTTTAAAAATAGCATTTATCACAACAAATTGTATTTATTAGTTTGTGTCTGTCTCATCTACGGGTCTGATAGCTCCTCAAAGCTCGGACATATCCTTTTGTATTTACACCAGTGCCTAATGTAGTGCCTGGCACATAGTTGGTGCTTCATAAATGTTGCGTGAGTAGCTATAGTTCTTTATTTGTATTACTTTAAAAAAACATTTTTTTTGAAGATTTTATTTATTTATTTGACAGAGAGAGACACAGCAAGAGAGGGAACACAAGCAGGGGGAACGGGAGAGGGAGAAGCAGGCTTCCCGCCAAGCAGGGAGCCCGATGCGGGGCTCGATCCCAGGACCCTGGGATCATGACCTGAGCCGAAGGCAGACGCTTAACGACTGAGCCACCCAAGCACCCCTAAATTTTTTTGTAATACTTTTAAGCTCCTTTTTAAATTTAATTTTATTTATTTGTTTTGGAGAGAGTGTGCACACATGCAAGGGGGGGCAAAGGGAAAGGGGTGAGAAAATCTTTTTTTTTACTTTTTTTTTTTAAGATTTTATTTATTTTTAGAGAGACAGCGAGAGAGGGAACACAAGCAGGGGGAGTGGGAGAGGGAGAAGCAGGCTTCCCGCGGAGCAGGGAGCCCAATGCGGGGCTCGATACCAGGACCCTGGGATCATGACCTGAGCCGAAGGCAGATGCTTAACGACTGAGTCACCCAGGCGCCCCACTCTTTTTATTTTTTTATTTAAAGGTTTTGTTTATTTGAGAGAGAGAGAGAAGCACAAGTGGTGGGGGGTACAGAGGGAGGGGGAGAAGCAGACTCCCCACTGAGCAGGGAGCTTGATGCGGGGTTCGATCCCAGGACCCTGAGATCATGACCTGAGCCGAAGGCAGCAAGCCACCAGGTGGCCCGGGGTGAGAGAATCTTAAGCAGATTCCACACTAAGTGCAGAGCCCAACCTGATCATGACCTGAGCCGAAACCAAGAGTCAGACACTTAACTGACTGAGCCACCCAGGTGCCCCTTATCTGTATTACTTTTCTGGAATTTATCACATGGTATCTTATTGGTTGTGTTCATCCTTTTTCTTTATTAGATTGCAGGCTTCTTAGTAAGTAGGAACTTGTTTTATTTTTGTTTGTATTGCCCAGAATGTTTGTCACATTGCTTTGAAAATTACTTGTGATGTATGAATGAATAAACCAGCCTGTCCTCTAGGAAGTGAAGACCTGGGACAGAAGAATAAGAGAAGTTTGCTTTCTGTGTCTTCTGATGGGGAGAAAGAGAAGGAAAACCTGGCAGAGCTTCTGTTACATCCGTTGCTCAAATTTTTGGTCAGGGGAGCTCACTGACTTCAGCCTGGGAAGACCATTTTGTACCATACTATTTTATCTAATTTGCCTCCATTCCAGTAATATGGTGCTACAGTGAGGGAGGGGTTTTTACCTTCAGTTGATGTGATTGGCCCCAAAGCAGGTTATGTAGATCAGTAGGCCATTTTTGTTAGTGTTGCCTCTTACACTGACACAAAATACTAGATTTTCACTTTGCAGGGTGTTGCTTGTGAAACAGAAAGTAGATGCAGTATTTAAATATGTGGCATTGTCTTCTTGTTTTGCAGTTAAATCCAGATGTGAATGTTTTCCAGCGGAAATTTGTGAATGAAGTTAGAAGATGTGAAGAAATGGATCGAAAGCTTCGTATGTGCATTTTGGTTCCGTATCATGTTCCTATAATGAGTCATCTGTCTTAAATTAAGAGACACTAGTCCTCTTTTTATTTATTATTTATTTATTTATTTATTTATTTATTTATTTTAAGATTTTATTTATTTGTATGACAGAGAGAGACACAGTGAGAGAGGGAACACAAGCAAGGGGAGGGGGAGAGGGAGAAGCAGGCTTCCCGCTGAGCGGGGAGCCCGATGTGGGGCTTGATCCCAGGACCCTGGGATCATGACCTGAGCCCAAGGCAAACGCTTAACGACTGAGCCACCCAGGTGCCCCGAGACACTAGTCCTCTTAACAAAAGAAGAAAATACTGTAGGAGAAAAAGAAAGGAAGAATAGTCTTACAATCCTGATATTAAGATGAATTTCTTGTGTACAAGTAGATTTTGTGGTATTGGGGCTAGGTGGTGTTTAATGGAAACCTCGTTTGAGATGACAAGGCTGCAAACTGAACATATTGGTTATTTTTTTGTGGGAAAGGTTTTATAACAGTATTGCATTATAGAATTCTGAGAGGACGCAGACCACCATCTTATTTTATTTTATTAAATAATTTTTTATTTAATTTATCTATTTTAAAGATTTTATTTATTCATTTAAGAGAGAGAGACAGAGGGAGCACAAGCAGGGGGAAGGGCAGAGGGAGAGGGAGAAGCAGACTCTTGCTGAGCTGGGAGCCCAACCTGGGGCTCGATCTCAGGACCTGGAGGTCATGACCTGAGCCAAAGGCAGACGCTTAACCATCTGAGCCACCCAGATACCCCAATAATTATTTATTTTAAAGATTTTATTTTATTTATTTTTTAAAAATATTTATTTATTTGACAGAGAGAGACACAGCAAGAGAGGGAACACAAGCAGGAGAAGTGGGAGAGGAAGAAGCAGGTTTCGCGCAGAGCAGGAAGCCTGATGTGGGACTCGATCCCAGGACTCTGGGATCATGACCTGAGCCGAAGGCAGACGCTTAACGACTAAGCCACCCAGGCGCCCCTGAAGATTTTATTTTTAAGCAATTTTTTTTTAAGATTTTATTTATTTATTTGACAGAGAGAGAGACACAGTGAGAGAGGGAACACAAGCAGAGGGAGTGGGAGAGGGAGAAGCAGCCTTCCCGCCGAACAGGGAACCCGATGTGGGACTCGATCCCAGGACTCTGGGACCACGACCCGAGCCGAAGGCAGATGCCTAATGACTGAGCCACCCAGGCGCCCATTTTTAAGCAATTTCTGTATCCAACATGGGGCTCGAACCCACAACTCTGAAATCAAGAGTTGCACGCTCCACCAACTGAGCCATCCAGGTTCCCCACTATCTATTTTAGATGTCAACACAGCCACCTTTTAATTTGACCTTTTTTTTTTTTAAAGATTTTATTTATTTATTTGAGAGAGAGAGAATGAGAGAGAGCACATGAGAGGGGGGAGGGTCAGAGGGAGAAGCAGACTCCCTGTAGAGCAGGGAGCCCGATGTGGGACTCGATCCAGGGACTCCAGGATCATGACCTGAGCCGAAGGCAGTCGCTTAACCAACTGAGCCACCCAGGCGCCCTTAATTTGACCTTTTTATGAGAGAAGAAACTAACACATTTGTTAGGGTCCTATTGAGAGTTGGGGTGTTCATATACTTTATTTCACTCATTCCTCACAATATTCCTTCAGGTGGGTGTTACCTCATTTAATAAATGAGGAAGCTGGGGCACCTGGCTGGCACAATTGGTAGAGCATCCGACTTCTGATCTCAGGGTCATGAGTTTGAGCCCCACGTTGGGTGTAGAGATTATTTAAAAATAGAGAGAGAGGAAGGAAGGAAGGAAGGGAGGGAGGAAGGAAGGGGGGAAGGGAGGGAGGAACCAAAGATCAGAGAGGTTAAGTGACTTGCCCAAGAACATAAGCAGTTATGCTGGAATCACTATTTGAATCCCGGTTGTTCTCTCTGGCTTCTAAACCAATGATCTTGCTACTATACTGTGTCAGCTTTCAGTTAGCTGATGGGTGAATTTGGTCTCTGCCCTCAAAAAGTCACTAGTTGTCACTTTTCTCTTCTGGTATTTTGGGGCCTTACACTGTGTCATGCTTTTTGTTTTTTGTTTTGTTAAAACTGATCTGATTGTTTTCAAATTTTATGAAACCCTTTTGATCTAGAGTTGTTTCACTAGTATGCTAAATGTCAAATATTCTATGGAATTGCGCTCTTCTGGAGCTCGGCAAACAGTGTCTACAAACAGAACCATCATACTCTGGAGTAGTAGTCGCACAGGGTGGAGAACTGAAGCAGATGAGCTTTTAAGATCAGAAGAGGGAAAGAAGATGGTTGTGGGATGACAATCCTCTTTGGGGTAGCTGTGATTCAGAGAGTGTGCAGTGGAAGAAGAGGAACGTGGAGGAAAAAGGATTTACATCTTGTGCTTGTTTTATATGAAAGTATCTTTATAGAACAAAGCTCTTTTTAGCCAGGTTTTCGCTCTTATTTTTTGCCTTAAATATTGGCAATTCCAGGCCTATGCTATACATGAATGTTTTGATTCTGTCATTTTAGGATTTGTGGAGAAAGAGATAAGAAAAGCTAATATCCCTATTATGGACACTGGTGAAAACCCAGAGGTGCCCTTCCCCCGGGACATGATTGACTTAGAGGTAAACAGTTCTTCTAAGGAAGCCAGATACATTTCTTTCTACTTAAATGCAGAAATTATTTTCCTGTGTGGATGGAGAGTAGAGGAATTCTTGCTGCCATTGTCCGCATTGTCTCTTGCTTGTGAGTTTCTTGTGGAGACTTATTATAGAGCACTATCTTGAACGATATCACATGCCACCAAATAAATGCTTATTGCCTTATTGAAACCTTATTGGATTAATGTCAACTTATCTAGCAATTTATTAATCTCATAGACTAAATGAATAAGCAGTAGACTTTTCAATATTTATTTTATCCATCCAAAGTCCCCTGAGAAATTCAACCAAGTGTGTAATAGAACTGAAAGGTAAAGACAGATGATGCTAAGCAAAAAATTTTCATGAAGAAAATTGCCCTGGTGAAATCACATATTTGCTGGGTAGATATAAAATATGTTTGAACCCTAAGGTTGCAAGAATTCTGTGGGATAGATGAATTCATCTGTCTTTCAGAACAAGCATATTGAGGTTAGTTTAAGTTAATAGTTTGATTTTTTTTTCCTGTAGGCCAATTTTGAGAAGATTGAAAATGAACTGAAGGAAATCAACACAAACCAGGAAGCTCTGAAGAGAAATTTCCTGGAACTGACTGAACTAAAATTTATACTTCGCAAAACTCAGCAGTTTTTCGATGAGGTCAGACTATTGTTTCTTTTAGTATTTGAGCAGCTGATATCTATCACACCTGCACAAGTGGGCCATGTTGTTATTCCAGAAATTATTTTAATTTGCTAGTTGAAAGCAATACCATTTTTGCACCGTTTTAGTTGAAGAAATGTCAGATTATGTTCCATTTTTCATGCAGTACACAGCCAGTCATGGTTTTGTATACTTTTGCAATTTTCTGCAATTTTTCATCACAAGATGGGGAAAGGAACCCTAAAGTAGTTGTATATACATAGTTGAAATTTTTACATTATATGTTAAGGTAAGTAAAGGCTTAAGGTAAGGTAAAAGTTAAAGCAACAAGAAATATTTGGTCCTACATGAAATTGTAACGAAGTTTTAACCTCTGAACTTTTTATCATCAAGTTTTTATTTTTATTTTATTCTCTGTGTTTGCTTATCAATCATGAGCACATTTGTAACTATCCACATAGCACATGTCACATTTTAATTTTTCAAGAGTTTTTCTTTATGTTGTATGGAAATACTGGTAGGATGCCTGTTTTGAAATTCCTGGATTTCCACGGAAACTCATTGCACTGCTTTATAGGGAAACATGTAAATCAGTTCCTGGGTTAAAAATGTAGGTTGCGCATGACAGTTTGCTGAGGTGAGTCTATGGAAGGACATGGGAGCAAGACTTTCAGAAGACTTCCTTCTAATTACACCTGGAGAGGAGTCTTAGCTTTTAGCCTGGACTTGCTTTATTGGTGGCCTAAGATATTGGTAACTTTTTTTTTTACAGTAAGGTGTCTTTGCCACCAGATTAGCAATATCAGACACTTCAGCTCTTGGTCCAGTCACTGTTCAATGTGCCTTCCAGAACATTCTTTGTTTCCTTTGCTCAACAACAACAAAAAATTTGGCAAAGCTTTTTAAAAATAGAAGGCCAGTTTTAGTTAGTACATGATGTATTCTCTCTCTCTCTTTCTTTAAAGATTTTATTTATTTATTTGAGAGAGAGAGAATGAGAGACAGCATGAGAGGGAGGAGGGTCAGAGGGAGAAGCAGACTCCCTCCTGAGCAGGGAGCCCCATGCGGGACTCGATCCCGGGACTCCAGGATCATGACCTGAGCCGAAGGCAGTCGCTTAACCAACTGAGCCACCCAGGCGCCCCCTCTCTCTCTCTTTCTTTAAAGATTTTATTTCTTTGAGAGAGAGAGCATGAGCAGTGGGGAGAGGGAGAAGCAGGCTCCCTCCTGAGCAGGGAGCCTGACGTGGGGTTCCATCCCAAGACCCTGGGATCATGACCTAAGCTGAAGGCAGACGTTTAACCCACTGAGGCACCCAGGTGTCCCACGTGGTGTATTCTCAGTTCTACTTTTGATATCTGTCTTTTAAGGAAAGACCAACTCTCTAGCCCTCTAGACTGGAGCAAGGGCTCTGTAACCAGCAGCATGAGCCTCACCCGGGAACTTGTCAGAATGCACATTACTAGTCCTCACTCTAGACTCAGGGAATCAGAAACTCTGAGGGTGGGGCCCAGCAATCTGTTTTCACAGGGTGACGCTGAGCTATGCTAGTTTGTAAACCACTGGGCGTCAGAAAGCTGAAGATGTGATACATTCCTCAGTAACTAAGGACTGACTCAGAGAAGCCATGCTAATTAAAAACATCTGTTGGGGCAAGGGAACGGGAAAGAGCTCATATGAATTTAATTGCATAATCATCCCAAGAATCAGAATCTGGCTATGTATCAAGAGAGGTTTGGTGTGAATATTCAGCTAGCTCACTGAGTGGAGAATTTTGAGACTGACAGAAACTTCTTTCACCAGTCCCTGATATCTCATCACATTAGAGGGTGTGGGACAGTGTGATTAACTCTTTCCATGTGTTTCAGGTCTTTTGCAACAGGCATGGCCACTTTTGCCGTATGGCTTTCATGAACAATAATCTGGAATTCCAGTTGCTCACTGCCTAAACTGTTATTGTATTTATATTCATTAATTCATTGAGCATTTAATGAGCACCTACTCTTCGTGAGGCACAAGATGAGTAAGACATGGTCCCTGTGCTCAAGGAATGCATCGCTTAGTCATATCAGGAAACATGCCAGAACACAGTGCCCCCATATGCTCACAGATACGTGCTTTTCTAAATGTGTCTAAGCTGCTGCCCGCAGATCCAATTTCAGCTGGCCTCAGAATCAAAGCTCAGGTACTTTGAGCATCATTTGGGGCTTAATTCTTTTGCCCTCCCCCCACTTCTTCCCCTTTTGATATAGTCTTAGTTTATTGCTGGATGTTGCTGAAATGTATGCAGATGTCTTTCATAACCTCCTGAGTTTAAGGGATGGAATAGGCTTCCTTGTCTAGTTCATTCTGAGAGAAAATCTGAATAAAGACTGACAAATGGACCCCCTTATGGGCAATAGTTACTTGAATTGTTAATGTTACTAAAAACAAGATACTAAAAACAAAATAAGAAAAATCACTTGGAAAGATGATCACAGTTTTAAAATCCTAAGTTCTGGATTTAGGAATTTTCTTTTCTTTTTTTTCTTAATAAATCTAAACATGAAACACCCATGCTGAGAAGGCAGGCTGGAAGTCTTCATGACCTTCATGCTCCAACCACAGTGGGTTGCTTTCCCCCTTACTCACACAAAACTTTTTTTTTTTTTTTTTTGGTAATAATCTCGAAGTACTTTTGAGCATGAGGCCTTGGCTGTGAGAGATTCTTTGGCTGCTTTTGTCATCAGTCTCTCTTGTTCCTAGCACCCTTACGATAGTGCGGGGAGTCTTCTGGCAAGAGCTACTCTGCCTTTCTTCTCCCAAGTGCAGAGTCAGTGCCTTGTGGAGGCCTGCCACTAGCTCCGAGGCTCAGCCAGGTCCCTTTCAATGGCCCTTGCCCTGCTGTTGCCAGACAGTTGCCTTGACAGGAAATGAGACCTCACAGAGTAAGTGCATCTGTGCACGTGAGTGCACACTTCAAATAATGCAAAAGATAAACTTGGGACCCTCAAATCTCGGAAACGTAATTTTTTTCACGAGATTGTCTTCCATGCCTGAAACTACAATGTTTGCAAATGGCCTAAAACACGACCAGTTCAAACCCTTCTTTTTTTATAAAATTTGGTGAACATGATCAATAATTTATAATAGTGAGTTAGCCAAAAATGGCTCAATCAGAAAATGATTCTTTCCATCTTTAGGCATAGCGGTCATGATTGGCAAGATGTCTGGAAGGGGAAGAGTAAACATAAATCGAACATTCTTATGATTTAAGATGATTGCAAGTTCGACATAGCCATTTCTTATCCAGAGCATTTAAAATGACTTGTTAATGATTATCCTTTTCTCAGTCTTCTTGCTTATGAAGAACTATAAGAGCTGGAGAGAGTTCTCTGCATCTTTTACCATAAGCACCCTAACATATGAGAGCGTAAAGAAGACTGGAAAAGTAATGGTTAATGGCATGCAGGTCCCTGCCTTCCTTTCCTTCTGAGTCTTCCATCCATCTACTTTACTTTACTTTTCTTTCCCATCTGCCATCTCCCTTGGGGCTTGGGTGAACACCTTAAGTGATGAAATGTGATTTCTCTCTCAATATAGATGGAAGTAAAAGTGTTTGCTCTTGGTAATTAATGCAGCTTGAACTGGATGTGCTGTTGACAGGGCGCTGCTGAGATTCTGCCGCTTCCTCTTTCAGGGCATGGTTTTAGTGTTCTGACTAGGGGAAAGGTGAACCAAAGAGCATAGCAAGTAATTCAGACGCACGTTGGTAGCGTTGTTTTTGTTATTAGGGAACCCAGAATAGGATTCAGATACCCCACGGTGCGGTTTTAGAGATTGTCTTAAAGGCCCTCAGTAAGCAGTTCTGATCCTCCTAGTTCCCCATGAGGCACAGTTATTTTATTTAAAAATGTTTGACTTCCCTCTCTAAGATTTAGGATACTTAAGTATGAAGTAGTGAAATTATTAATTAGAATATTATTGCAAGTTTCCATTTAATTTTAATTCTGCCAAAGTTTTTTTTACACCCAGAGTCCCAGGTGAGTAGTAGACTACAGAGTAGTCTTGTTAGTCAGTGCTTTTTGCTGCTCCAGCAGTTGTCCCCTATAGAGCACATATGTTTGCACTGTGCCTGATCTTTTGGGTTTACTGAAAGCAGGTCTTGTGAACCATACAGGGAAGTAGGCAGAAGTCTTGTGGGTAGCAGTCAGTTTCACTGTTTTTTGCCAAGGGACATCCCAAGAACAAGATGAAAGGAGGTAGTCATCTAGATCCTTTTTTTTTTTTTTAAAGATTTTTATTTATTTTTTTGACAGAAAGAGACTGCGAGAGAGGGAACACAAGCGGGGGGGTGGGAGAGGGAGAAGCAGGCTTCCCTGCTGAGCAAGGAGCCCGATGTGGGGCCCGACCCCAGGGCCCTGGGATCATGACCCAAGCCGAAGGCAGATGCTAAATGGCTGAGCCACCCAGGCGCCCCAGTCATCTAGATCCTTAAAATGAGTTGCCTGTGGCTTGCAATCAGCTGATTTGATATTAAGTAGAAACCAAAAAAAACCCCCTAAACTTCCATTCGATAGCAAGTGGAAATCTGTTGCCCCCATTATCTCATCTTAAACTTTTTCACATCTCATGACAGTATTTGTCTGCCCTCTGACGTACTCAGTGCCTGCCCTTCCTTCCTTCTTTCCTTCCTTCCTTCCTTCCTTCCTTCTTCCCTTCCTTCCTTCCTTCCTTCCTCTTTTCCTTTCCGTTCTGTTCCGTCCCTTCTTTCATTCAGCCGGGGTGGGGCGTAAAGTTGAATGTTCATCCTGCATCAACTTTTAGAAGTCACTTCCCCAAAAATTTTTCTTTTTTTTAGGCTTTCAGCCTTATTATTTGGTTTATATCCTCAGGTTTATACTCAACCCTAAAGCCTTCCCCCCGCACCCCTTGACTTTACCTTTATGGTCCTATCACTTATCAAGTGAGGTTCCTTTGTGACATTTTTTGATCGCAGGGTTAACAGGAAGAGAATCAAATTGATGTTTGGAATGAAAATGATAGAGAAAAATTTTCCTGATTTTTTTTGTTTAGTTTTGCTTTTGAAAAGGAAGATCATCTGGCTGATTTCTAGTCTTTGGTTAAACGAGCAGTATGTGGATATTAAAGTTGGGGAGATCAGGTGGTAGAGAAGTTGATTGGCCTTTATTTTTTAGAGCAGCTTCTCCTTCCTGATAAGACTAAAGGTAGTAGGATGTGTTGGGTAGAGAGAGTTTAGGAAGTACAGACCTCCATCTGAGAAGGTCCCTCTCCTCCTTCATTTCATTGTATAAACTGTCATGGTGGAAATAATTTTAAATCTGAACAATTAAACTAGCCTACATGCTCTATATTGGTTTATTATCAGTTACATTATCTTCACTTGATTGAGATTATTGGTTTCCACTTTGTTCTCAGTGACCCTTAAACTATGTAGCCTAACATGAACTTTTTAATATTCCTAGATTCCTGGTCAGAAACTAGGACATTCAGATAGGTTTTCACTTTTTCTTCCTTCTGTTGATGCAGTGGAGGTCCAGGCCTGCCCAGCTGCTGTGCCACTTCTCCTTTTGGAGAAAGAAATACTCTTTAAATCCCATGGCTTGGGGCATTTTATACGGTGGCCATGCTGAAAGCTCTCATGTTCTGAATTTTGAAGAGCATGGAAACCCAGACATGTGGAAATGCCCCTTCCGCCTTTCTCCTGTTCACACTGCTTGGGACGGTGGCTGTGCTTTTCTTTCTTCCTTGGAAAGAGAGTCTCCATCTTTCACATTCCCACCCAGGGATATTCTAGTCTCTAGCTGCCTGGAAATTTGATGTTGAGAGTATCTTCAGAGCTGCTTTGGTTTTGCTGAAAACGGAGAAACATTTCAGCTTCCATCCGCATGCACAGGTATTTCCTAGTATTTTCATGGCTTTCAGGGAAACACAGATAAAATGGTTTCCACCAAATAACAGATTTATACATTGTCACCATTATTTAGTGTTTTTTTCCTTTATTCCTTATTTCAAAAACCATTTCCCCGATGCTTTACTGGGGCAGTTAAGCTTTCTTTTCCTCTTGTTTCTTTCCTTTGTTTTCTTCCCCTATTCTTTTCGTGGGTATGTCGTCTCTTTTGGTGGTTTTTTTCTTTTCCATCTTTATTTTCTAAACTTACCTCCTGGTTCCTCGTTCCCTGCATGCCACTAACTATTTTCATTAGATATTAATTGATTTGTGAATTCAGGCTGAATTGCATCATCAGCAGATGGCGGATCCAGACTTGTTGGAAGAGTCCTCGTCCCTCTTGGAGCCAAGTGAGATGGGAAGAGGCACACCTTTAAGACTTGGGTGAGTACTATTTTGACCCTCCATAACTCAGTGGGGTCACATTCATGTTTGCTGTCAAAAGAGTAGTGAGGCTGGGCATTCACTTGTTTCCAGGATGTGTTCTTTTCTGAGCCTCTTGAGAGGTGTTCCTAGGTCACTTTGGATTCAGTTCCTGAGCTGTTCTGTCAGCCCTTTCCTGGTTCTGGGAAGAAAACTTTGGGAGCCCTTTTGACATAACATTGCATAGCCTTGTGTTTGTCTTGCCCCCTCCCCTCACTTCCCTTCTTTGTCTTAAAGCCTTCCATCCCATGGCGTGGAATAGAGTTCCCCATCTGGCTCTTCTTCCCACAGCTTCGTGGCTGGTGTGATTAACCGGGAGCGCATCCCTACTTTTGAGCGCATGCTTTGGCGGGTTTGCCGGGGAAATGTGTTCCTGCGACAGGCTGAAATCGAGAACCCCCTGGAGGATCCTGTGACTGTAAGACAAGGAAATTGCGTCCCGTGGAGTAGGTCTTGTAAAGGGAGCTCAGAGCAGTAACACTGCATGGTACCACCTGAATCTGACCCTCCCGCAGAGGAGCCCTTATGTTTCCCCCTACCCTGATCTGCGAATAGGAAGCACTGCTCTTTTCCTCTTAACTTCTGTCCTCTGTGTACCTATGACGTATACTGACAGATGCATAGACATTTTCAAGCCCCACCTGTGTCGGTATGATTTGGACTGTATGTTTTTTTCCCCCTTATTTTAAACTTAAGCTTTATATACTTTCTGTTACCTATCAGAGGCCAAAAGAAAATTAACTTTCTGTGAAAATCAGAGCATGACATCTGGTTCCAGGTTTGGTAATACCAATGTGTAAGAAGAGGAGAGAGTTCCTCCTAAACTATGAGCTTTATAAGGTGATGAAATTTTTAGTTGGTAAGGTTTTTTGTCTGTTTGTTGGGAGATTTAGAAACTTAGTTTAAAAATAATTTATTGTGCAAGGTAGGAGGATCTTCCCTACCCACTGCTTTGCAAAGTAGGAATGGCTGAACATCTTGGCATTTGACATAATGGGACAGAGTTCTTAACATCAACCTACACGAAGTATGGTGAATCCTGATTTCAAGGATCACAAGCAAGGAAGATGAAATGTTCTGCAAAAAAATTTACTGTTGTATTGGTAATATTTGGAAGCCTGGGCTTGGATTTTCTGTTGAAAATTATCTTTTAGATGTTCTTAAATTAGTATCTTTTGCTCCACGAAGAGAGATTGGATTGTGAGACTTCTCAGAGTGGGTGGGTCATGCAGCTGAAATGGTCTGGGCACCTGAGGCTTTTATCCTTTTATCCTCCTGAAGAGGAGAGTGGTGACACTTAGGGTTCGGGGAGCCCCCAGAGGAGCAGTTGTGCAGACCCACCGGAGGCTGTCCTCGCGTTGTAGAGACATTGCAGTCTGCAGTGACTCCTAATGTGGAGCTGTTCTCAGGAATATTCAGCCAAGTTTCTGGGCAACAGAAACATTATTTTATCAACAAATTGAGGAAAGGGGTCTGGATAGCTACAGCAGAGAGGCTGCACAAGGAATGTGCTCCAGTTTATTTCCCATTCTGGAGAATTTACGGATTTAAGGCTCTTTGCCTCATTTTCTTCATTCCTCATCTCCTTTTATCCTTCTAAAGTTTGTTTTTTATTATAAAAATTCTAGGAATATGAGAAAATACAGGCAACCAGAGGCAGTCTTGGTTAACACCCAGTTAAGCCTATTTTTCTGATCTTTCCCTGCAGCCCTTGTGTCAGACTTCATATGTGAACTTGGTATTTGGAATAGATTGCCCTCCTCCTCCCTGCTCCTTAGATCAAACTTAGCATGAAGCATGAGATTCCACATCAACCTTCTTCCCAAACCCTCACTTCCTTATAGTTCCTCAGTCCCCTTTATCTGGGAACTTCTAAGCATAGAACAAACAGGAATGGCTTCCTTTCCTCTCCTCCATCCTTACTCGGGCAGTGTAAGGTTTGAAGTTGAATTGGTATAAAGGGCTATATGGTGCTACAAGGAGAATCATCTTAGTGTCTGTGTTAAGCTCATGGTTGAGTTTAAAAACAAGTATCTAAGATTTTTTGTGTGAATGAGAGACTACAGGGCAAATGTTCTTATAGCAGAGCTTAAACGGATGGAGGATAATAATTCAAGTGCAGGGTTGCCATGTCCTTCAGTGACTCCCGTTGTTCCTATATCACCAAGACAGTAGGGTATTTAAGAAATTTTCTTCCAGGCCAGAAGTCTGAATGCTCTGTTTTGGGTTTGGGGCCCAGGGTGACTACGTGCACAAGTCCGTATTCATCATTTTCTTCCAAGGCGATCAGCTGAAAAACAGAGTCAAGAAGATCTGCGAAGGGTAAGAGAAATGTGCCTCCCTGAGAGGTGCAGCCAGGCTGCCTGACTATTAAGCCTTAGAATATAGAACAGTGAAACAATAACCCTTTTAGTTTACTTTGACACAGCACATATATCTTTTAATAATATTAGGGCTATTTTAAACAATTAGAAATGACCTAAGTTCATTTTTAGAAGTACTATCAAAACCGCAATTTCCTTTCTTTGGAAAAAAGTAATTAGGACTCATGGTTTATAAATGCTACGTTGTTCTAGGACGATGGGCTTGTGTACCCAGCAGTGTACCATAGGCACTGTGCCTGCACACTTTTCTGAAATTCTGTCCATAAGATCTCTTTTCCGTGCCATTTTTCTCAAGTAATTTACAGTATGATTTGTATTACTGAGTTTTTAAAATTTTAATCTAAGGGAATTTAGTAGCTGCAGAGAATGTCAAGATAGTTCAAATGTTATTGCTCAATCTATAGGACATTTCATATTTATTAATGATCAGTGCACCAGTCTGAGCTAATCCTTCTAGTTTTGGTCCTTCTAGTACATTAAGATTACTTCCTGAGGTTGTTTAAATTGAACAGGTTAAGAAACTTCAGAGTCCATCAGGCTGTGTCTGTATGTTCCAGGTTCCGGGCCTCACTCTATCCCTGTCCTGAGACACCACAGGAGAGGAAGGAAATGGCTTCTGGAGTTAATACCAGGATTGATGATCTCCAAATGGTACCAGAGGGCTGGAGGGAATTTTTTTGTGTGAAATACTATAATCGAAGACTGTTCCCCTTCCTTGAAACACTAACAGTTTATTAGGCATCAAGAGCAGCCAGGATGCAAAAAAAGAAGTGTCCATGGGTAACTTGTGCCCTTGGGAGCTAGGGAAAAGTTTCAGGGAATGACTGTTAAAAATAGCATAACAGCGTTAATCATCCTCAAACACGACAGGAATGCTATACATCTGAAATTGTTGTTGCTTCAAGTATTCGGTTTCCCTCTTCGTGAGTCTGAGGTATTTTTTATGAGTAAAAAAAGTATACTTAGTTAAGGGAAAAAATCAAGTAATACAGAAGTACACGTGAAGTCAGTTCTGCCCTCTCTCACACACTCTCTCCCTCCAGAGGCAGCCACTCTTAACAGCTTGGTGTGTAACTTCTGGTCACCTCGGATCTTAACCAAACGGTCTAGCCGGAGAGTCCTGTAAGTCTTGTACCCAAGAAGAGACTATTAGATTTTTACCACATCACCAGTGTGGTTAATACGATCCATGGTTGTCATGAGGTCCTAAGGACGGAGTCATGATTGAGGCGTACTTGGAAGGAAAGTGTGGCCAGTGGGAGCTTTGTTCCCTGTTGAAAGGATGTGATGATTGCCCTCTTGAAACATTAAAACATTCAGTAGTCCCCACCCCCCTTTATCTGTGATTTTGCCTTCTGAGGTTTCAGTCACCCACAGTCAGCTGTGGGTCTTAAACATGATCCCCTGATGATGTCAGAAGGTTATAGTAGCCTAACGCTGCGTCACATGCCTACATCATTCACCTCACTTCATCTCACATAGGCATTGTATCCTCTCACATCCTCACAAGAAGGGTGAGTACGGTACAATAAGATATTTAGAGAGAGAGAGACCACATTCACATGACTTTATTATTATACCATATTGTTACAATTATTCTATTCTATTATTAATTGTTAATTTCTTACTGTGCCTAATTTTTAAATTAAACTTCATCATAGGTATGTGTGTATAGAAAAAAACGTATTATATATAGTTAGGTACTATTCACAGTTTTAGGCACCCACTGGGGGTCTTGGGTGGTGTCCCCTACAGATAAGGCGGCCCACTGTACTTAATCTCAAAGACAGTTCTTTCCAGCAGGGGCAAAATTGTCAGAGATATGTTGTAACTCCCATTTCAACTCCCTTTGTCATCTTTCCCTCCAACTCCCGTTGTCTATGACCCACCAACTTGACCTATTTCCAGCTCCTCAGAGATACACTTACCTGTTTAACCACGGGAAGAGAGTTTTTTAGAACTGCTGATGGGTGATAGGCCAATTAGTGTGTTCTGGGTTCTAGGGCTATCTTATCCCCTCCTAGACTTACGCGTAGATTTTTAAAAGGCACAGGCAATATGGTCAGAATTTGATCTTTGAAACACCCAGCTGTATGAACTGAAACTTTATTATCTATTTATTTATTTATTACGATTTTATTTATTTATTTGACAGAGAGGCACAGCCAGAGAGGGAACACAAGCAGGGGGAGTGGGAGAAGAAGAAGCAGGCTTCCCGCTGAGCAGGGAGCCCGATGCGGGGCTCGATCCCAGGACCCTGGGATCATGACCTGCGCCAAAAGCAGACGCTTAACAACCGAGCCACCCAGGCGCCCCTGAACTGAAACTTTAAAAAGGGATTGAGGGGTGCCTGGCTGGGTCAGTTGGTAGAGCATGCAACTCTTTTTTTTTTTTTTTTTTTTTAAGATTTTATTTATTTATTTGACAGAGAGAGAGAGAGACATCAAGAGAGGGAACACAAACAGGGGGAGTGGGAAAGGAAGAAGCAGGCTTCTCGCTGAGCAGGAAGCCCGATGCGGGGCTCAATCCCAGGACCCTGGGATCATGACCTAGCCGAAGGCAGACGCTTAACCGACTGAGCCACCCAGGTGCCCCAACCATGCAAATCTTGATCTTGGGGCTGTGAGTTTGAGCCCATTGTTGGGTGTGGTGATTACTTAAAAATAAAATCTTTTAAAAAAATAATAAAAGGGATGCCTGGGTGGCTCAGTTTTCATGCAGAAGTGTGAGTGGTGGGTTGCTCGCCCTTTGGCTTAGCCCCTCTCCTGCTATTGAAATCTTAAATGGTGATAAACAAGGCAGTAGAATGTTAAGTGTCCCTGCCCCTTCCTTTCACTCTAGTCTTGGCAGTGTGATTACTGTGAGGGCAATGTGTACTGGTTTCCAAAGGATCAGCACTGAAACGTTTTTTTTCCCCCAAGAAGCCTGACAGAAAGATAAAGCCTTATCTGCCCCACGATAACAGTGGTATGTGGCAGTCTAATCTCCTCTAAGGCCTTGAGTCCTTCTGACCCCTTAGTGTCTCCTGTCCCTTGTTCCCTGGCATGGAGTCTCTCTTGGCATAGGCGGGCGATGGTGTTCAGCACTGCCTCTTTCCCATCATTCCCCGATGCTGGCTTATGTTCAGGGCATTCTGCAGCTAACTGTTTTTAAGTGTGGATTTTGTCAACTCCCAGCCTTAAAATGCTGACTTAACTTTGAGTCTGAGTTACAGACTTTACATGGAAAACCATTGCTCTTTAATGATCCAGGTAAGTAAGCTGTGGATTTGTGGGAAGATAAATATAGAGGAACTGAAAACTATTTCCTCAGGTTTCTCTTCAGCTTGAAGCCAAAAGAAAAATGAATGTTAGTAACTAAAGCTCTAATTTCTTGTAATTTGCCCCCTGCAAAAGCCATTCTAGTCAGAAGAAGAATAAATCCCTAGCAACCCTTCTCAGAAAGCTGTGCCTCTTTGTCATTCATATCCTGGACCCAAACCTGGTGTAGAAGGATCTCTCCTAGTTCCTTTCTCTCCCAAAAGGTTCTCAATCAAACAGAGGATCACCGCCAGAGGGTCCTGCAGGCAGCTGCTAAGAACATCCGTGTCTGGTTCATCAAGGTGAGGAAGATGAAGGCCATCTACCACACCCTGAACCTGTGCAACATCGATGTGACCCAGAAGTGCCTGATTGCAGAGGTCTGGTGCCCCGTCACCGACCTTGACTCCATCCAGTTTGCGCTCAGGAGGGGCACGGTGAGTCCCCTATAGCTGGCAGTGCAGTGGGAAAGAGCACTTCCCACCCACTGTAACATTAATTGATCACATTTTTATGGCATTTTTACTTTCAGAGTTCTTGGATATACTCATCTTGTACTCCTCTTGTTTCCTAACAATACATTTTGTGTATCCTTGTTTTCCAAATGTGGAAACTGCAGTTCAAAAAAGATGAAATGACTGGGTGCCTGTGTGGCTCAGTCCTCAGTCGGTTGAGTGTCTGACTCTTAATTTTGGCTCAAGTCATGATCTCAGGGTTGTGAGACCCAGCCCCACATCGGGCTCCACGCTCAGCGTGGAGTCTGCTTGAGATTCTCTCTCTCCCTCTCCCTCTGCCCCTCCCCCTACCCCTACTTATGTGTGCGCACTTGCTCGCTCTCTCTCTCTCTCAAAATAAATAAATAAATAAATCTTAAAAAAAAAAAAAAAAAAGACGAAATGACTTGGTCATATACCCATGATTCTTCAGAATAGCTCCTGACCAGAACGTCAGTTTCCTTATCCATTCTCTCTGCCCCTCAGACAGGTTCTTTTTTTTTTTTTTTTTAAGATTTTATTTATTTATTTGAGAGAGAGGGTGGGAGGGAGAGCACAAGCAGATGGTGGGGAGGGGCAGAGGGAGAGGGAGAAGCAGACCCCTCTTAGTAACTAAAGTTTAGTTAGTTACTATTTGGGAGTAGGGAGCTGAGCCTGAGCAGGGACCCTGATGCCGCAGGGCTCAATCCCAGGACCCGGAGATCATGACCCGAGCCAAAGACAGATGCTTAACCAACTGAGCCACCCAGCTCCCCCATCAGACTGCTTCTGAGGGATAACCCTAGCAGTCCTGTCTAGCAGTTAGAGTTTGAGAAGATAACACTGCTTTCTCCATAAAAGGAAAGAACAACGATACTCTTAGTAGAAAGGCAGATGAGGATGTCTCCAGAGGAGGAAGTTCCATGTTTTCTTTGGTTGCACATTTTAGAATTGAATTTTCTCACATAAGGATATTCTTTTACACTTAATTTAAATCTTTCATTGTAGATTTTACACCTAGCTCCAGTTTCTCCAAAGACTGGGCAAGATTGAGATACAATTCACATAATATAAAATGCTCCTATTTTATATGTATAGTTTGACGAATTTTGATAAATATATACATCTATGTAACCACCACTAGGATGATCTAATTTTGATATATGTGTTTAATGTTTCCCAGGAACACAGTGGTTCCACTGTGCCCTCTATTCTGAACAGGATGCAAACAAATCAGACGCCCCCAACCTATAACAAAACGAACAAGTTCACATATGGCTTTCAGAACATAGTAGATGCTTACGGAATTGGAACTTACCGAGAGATAAATCCAGGTAAAAAAACTTGAATCTTCTCCCTCTAGAAGTTTTATATTTTGTTTATTTGTCTCTTCTAATGCCTCCCTTCAGATGTTCTTGAGTAGCTGGCATAAAATTACCTATGTTGTCAAGACCTCAGCTCTAGTGTAATTCCTGTAAGGAGGTGCCCATTTTGACACAGGGAGGGAGGTTTATTGCTGGTGGCACTCCTTTGAGAGGTGGTTTTATAGGAGTGAGCTCAGTGGATTGGATTCTTTTGTCTATCCTCACAACTATGAAACACCTGGCTTTCTCTAGCACATTTGCAGGAAGTACTCTAAGCAAAAAGTTTTTTTCCAAGATTGCTGATATTTTTAAATGGCTTCCCTATTCCAGGTTAGACAGAGAAAATATAGCAATTATTGACCATTTTAGACACAAAGCAGGTTTCCCAAAGGAAAAACAGGAGAGTTAATTATTAAATCAAGAGTCTGAGAATTTGTTTTTAGCTAGAGTCTTCTGCAGGACTGGCTTTGCTCTGAGTTCTGGGCTTTCTCCCACTTACCTGGGAGCTTTTTTCAGCTGAGAAATGGTTGCTGCACAAGAGAAGAAAGCTAGCCTGTCAAAGGAGCAGTGTTCCAGGGCTTAGAGAAAAAGAATCAAAGAACAAAGGAAGTGCCCAGCCAGGGCTAGGGACAAAACTTCACTCTCTGTGTTCTTTGTTTAAAATGCTAGCGGTAGCCCAGATCCCATCAGAGCTGCTCTGTGAGGACGTGCAGATCCTGCTCTGGAAGGTTTTCTCTGGGAGTCCATCTGACCAACAGCTAGGGAATAAGTCCCCTCATACTGATCTTAGAGTATGAGGAGGAATGTGATCTGCTGCTGGTGGTTGCGGTTTTCTGTACTTTGTTTTCTTCCTCTGGTTCCTTTTAGCTCCCTATACCATCATCACTTTCCCTTTCCTGTTTGCTGTGATGTTTGGGGACTTTGGCCATGGTGTTTTGATGACCCTATTTGCTGTATGGATGGTATTGAGGGAGAGCCGGATCCTCTCTCAGAAGAATGAGAATGAGGTAATGTTTGCTCCATGTGTGTTGGACCGAAACTTTGTAATTCCTCAAGCATTCATTATAAAATTGGGATTCTGGAAGTCTTCTATCCATGAATTTATATAGAAGTTACAGAGGCTGTTTTAAGAGTAGAGACGTTACATTCATTTTAACTCCAAAGCGGTCATGTGCTGTGAGAGTCATTTCTTGTTAGCATTGTATTTTGGCCTTGAGGTTCTCTGACCTGGGGTGGGTGGGGTAAATTAGTGTGAGAAGAATGGTCATATATTCTCAATAGTGTTGTCACAACAATAATGTTGAGCCACAGGGAGTACGTTTCATTGACTTCTTTCTTCTGGTTCCCAGATGTTTAGCACGGTGTTCAGCGGCCGGTACATTATTCTGTTGATGGGTGTGTTTTCCATCTACACTGGCCTCATCTACAATGATTGCTTTTCCAAGTCTCTTAATATCTTCGGGTCATCCTGGAGTGTACGGCCGATGTTCACTTTATATAACTGGACGTAAGTTGCAAAGAAGCTAAAAGTCAGGTTATTCCTTTTCTGTTCAGCTCTGATTTTCCAGACAAGAGATAAACTTATACTTCTTTAGGAAGTGGCTGACAGCGTCTCTGTTTCAGAAGAATGCAGTGTCCCCTCTTATTTATGCCCCAGCCTGGCAAGTGTTTGTGATTCCTTCAGCACTATCAAGAAACTGAGTGCCTGGGGCGCCTGGGTGGCCAGTCAGTTAAGCATCTGACTGTTGATCTCAGCTCAGGTCTTGATCTTGGGGTCGTGAGTTCAAGCCCTATATTGGGCTCCACGCTGGGTGTGGAGCCTACTTAAGAGAAAAAAGAAAGAGAGGGAGGGAGGGAGGGAGGAAGGAGGAAACTGAGACTGTAAATTTAGGCACATTGTTTCTTTTTGTAAATTAAAAGCAGATTCCCCAAATTCCCTACTTAGTTATGTAGGTGTGTTTGTTTGTTTTGGTCTTTTGTTATTTCTGATCCCTTCTCATTATCAGATGCTAGTCTTTCCTCTTTTATTGAAGAGACAAGACAGCTGTAGTAGTTTCTTTTAGGATCAGTTTTGGACCCCAGCAGTTTCCCTCTCTTGATAAAAACAAATGGAACTTTTCTTCTAACATGGTAGGGAGGAGACGCTTCGGGGGAACCCTGTTCTGCAGTTGAACCCGTCTGTCCCTGGAGTTTTTGGTGGACCATACCCTTTTGGCATCGATCCAGTAAGAGCACTTCTTTCCTATTATGTCTAACACCAGATTTTTTTTTTTTAAGATTTTATTTACTTATTTATTTGAGAGAGTGAGCGAGCGAGCGCATGCACACATGCGTGTAGGGGGAAGGGCAGAGGGGCAGGGAGGGGAAGAGGGAAAGAATCCCAAGCAGACTGCGCTGAGCACGGAGCCCATTGTAGGACTTGATCCCAGGACCCCAAGATCATGACTTGAGCCAAAACCAAGAGTCAGATGCCCAACCAGCTGAGCCACCCAGGTGCCCCTAACACCAGATTTTTAAAATGCAACCCTGAAGTGAGAGAATTAAATTAAAGAGAGTTATTTGGTTTTCAGTTGCAGTATTTTTGGAGAGCCCTTGTGTGTCTGTCTAGAGTACTTCCAAAGCATAAGAAACCCAAGTGCCTTAGGTAGCCGAATAATTTCTCCCGCACTCTTTATTTCAGAGGTGCCTAATAAGTTTGACCCTGGGAAGATTGACTTTTAAGACTCCTTCCCAGTTTATTTCTGTTTAACTTAGTTTGGGTTTTATTTTTTAGCAGATACGTTAACAAAGCAGAAGCAGTTCTTTCCTATGGATTTTTAGATTTCCATTTTATTCTTTACATACTTACAGAAACTTTTCCCAGAATTAAAAAAAAAGAAAGTAGGCAAAGTGTGATCAGATCTTTTGTATTGTGTGCTTAAAGGGGGGATAGAGGGAGGAATTTAAGAATGAGCATTCGACAGGAAGGAATACAGAATTCCAGAGGAAAAACAGATCATTATGGGCCAGAAAGACCAAGGTTCTTTAAAAAATGGGCATTAATTTGGCCTTTAAAAAATATTTCAGATTGTTACAGGTGAGAAGTGTGTACAAAAGCATAGAGGTAGGGAGATGCAAAGTTACTCATTTTGATTATTATAAAAGCAAATGTTAGTGAAATGGTCACTGTGGGCCAAGCACTGTACTCTGTAATCTGCCCTCAGCACATCTGATTTGCCCTGAAACAGTTTTGATTTCTCCTGAAACTGCTATCCCTGTCATACAGATAAGGAGACCAAGGCTTGGAGAGGTTGAATAACATTTCACATAAGCATTTAACAAATGTTTACTGAATCTCTGTTGTGTGCAGGCATAGTGCTTGCTGGGGGAAACACGTAATTTAAGTTGTAGCTCCTGCCCTCAAGTAGCTTAGAGTCTAATAATATTAGGTAACTTTATATAGTGTTCTATAGTTAACAGAAAGTTTTCTGGTTTTGTTGTTGTCTTGTGTGCATCTCATTTGATGCTTAAGGGTAAGTGTTGAGTTTGAAGTGCCTGTTGGAGGCACAGGTATAAATGTCCATCAGGCAGTTGGACCTGTAGAACTGAGTATCAGGGGAGACTGGGGCTGAGAGAGAACCAGCCACAAGTTGTCAGGTTAGAAGTCACCAAGGATGAGCTCCTCACAAGGATGTCGGTTCAGAAAAAATGATGCCAGGCTAGCTGGTGGAAGACCTGGCTTATCACGCTCCTGAGTTTGCACTTTATCCTAAAGAAGACAGTGGGGGTGCAAGGTAGGTTTGGGCACAGGGAAGTGACCACATCAGAGGCATTGATTTAGGAAATGTAATCTGATGGTCAAGTAGAGGCAGAAGAACTGTGGAAAATATTACAGATGTCCAGGCCCAGGTGACAAAGCTTAAGGCAACTAATATTTAAAAATAGATGGAACTCACCCAGAAGACAGACTGGAGGAACAGGTGGATGACAAGCTTATGGATCCCACAGGACTGTAAAACTCCAGCACCAGGGGAAAATAATATATTGAGCTCCAGGTGTTTCCTCACAACTCGTTTATCCTTCAGGCTAAAATTTTACATTTCTTTTTTTTCTTACCTTTTTCCTGTTTCAAATAGATTATTATTTTCCAAATAAATAAGTAAAATTTAAAAAAATAAAAATAGGTGGAACGACAGCACCATGGGGATATGATCAGCAAAACATTGACTGTGGGAACATCTACAAAATAAATGTCCCAGCTTCTTCAAATATTTTATAAAGAATAAAAAAGGAGAGTAGGGGGGCGCCTGGGTGGCTCAGTTGGTTAAGCGACTGCCTTCGGCTCAGGTCATGATCCTGGAGTCCCTGGATCGAGTCCCGCATCAGGCTCCCTGCTCGGCAGGGAGTCTGCTTCTCCCTCTGACCCTCCCCCCTCTCATGTACTTGCTCTGTCTCATTCTCTCTCTCTCAAATAAATAAATAAAATCTTTTAAAAAAAAAAGGAGAGTAGGGGGAGAATTTATAGATTAGATATTTAAGAGCTGTGTCAACGTAGAGACCTGATCTGGACTCTACTTTGAATAAATGAATTATGTTTTTATTTATTTTTTATTTTTTATTTTTTTATTTTTTTAAGATTTTATTTGACAGAGAGAGAGACAGCGAGAGAGGGAACACAAGCAGGGGGAGTGGGAGAGGGAGAAGTAGGCTTCCTGCAGAGTAGGGAGCCCGATGCGGGGCTCGATCCCAGGACCCTGGGATCATGACCTGAGCCGAAGGCAGACACTTAACGACTGAGCCACCCAGGCGCCCCATGAATTATGTTTTTTAAAAATTGGGGCACAGGGTGCCTGGGTGGCTCAGTCGGTTAAGCATCTGCCTTCGGCTCAGGTCATGATCCCAGGGTCCTGGGATCGAGCCCCACATTGGGCTTCCTGATCAGCGGGGAGTCTGCTTCTCCCTCTCCCTCTGCGTCTCTCCCTGGCTTGTGCTCTCTCTCTCACTCTCTCTCTCTCAAATAAATAAATAAAATCTTTAAAAATAAATAAATAATAAAAAATTGGGGCACAATCAGAGAAGTTTAAATACTGACTATATGTTTCATGATATTAAAGAATCATTGTTAATGCTTTTGGGAGTGATAACAGTATTATAGTCATGTTTTAAAAAAAAGTCTGAAATATTTACAGCTAAAATGATATGGTATCTGTACTTTGCTTCCAAATACTACGGAGGTGGGGAGTAGGTTGTCTGTATGATAAAATAAGATTGACCTTGAGTCAATAGGTAGTTGTTCACCTGGGTCATAGGTAAATGTGAGTTTGTTATACTGTCCTCTCTACTTAAGTCTGTGTTTAGAACTTTCCATAATTAAAAAAAAAGCTTTAAAAAATAGGTGAATAGGAGAGCCTGGCTCGCTCAGCTGGTGGAGCATGCAACTCTTGATCTCAGGGTCGTGATTTTAGCCCCATGTTGGACGTAGAGCTTACTTTTAAAAAAAAAATAGGTGAATAATAATATCCTATTCACGAACTCTGTAATGCCTTTTTGTTTCCTTGGGTTGTGACAGATCTGGAACATTGCTACCAATAAACTGACCTTTCTCAACTCCTTTAAAATGAAGACATCTGTTATCCTAGGCATCATCCACATGATGTTTGGAGTCACTTTGAGCCTCTTCAACCATACGTGAGTTGCTCTGTTTATGTCACAAGAACATGCATAGCTTAGGTAATGCTTTTGCCTAAAGAAATCATGACATCTTTGAGGAGGAATAAGTAACTCAGAACCCCGTTCTATGTTAAAGAAGTGCTTTTATAAAAATCTCATATTCTTAAATGAGGCTTAATTAATATTAGTCCCTTAACAATTCACAACTGCAGTAAAGATCTTTGAAAAACCTTTTGTCATTTTCATCAAAATGAGTGAGTTACTTTTTTTCTTTTATGTGTAACTCATATAAAATTATGAACTGTGATTCCAGAATGTACTATATTTTCCAATCTCTTTCTCATGGGAAAAGATTGGTGGGGGTGGTACCAAGATGTTCAAGGTCCAAAAGTTTGGAAGTCATGGTTAATCCTGCTTGTCTCTTTTGGCCTCCAGTGCTTCTGGCTGTTACTTCTTAAAGTGATAAAGACAGAATTGAGGGAGCTGTAGGTAGGAAATCTAGTAAGTACTCCATTTCATGTAAGGGTGACCCTGGGTGTCTGCTCAACATTTTTTTTTTTTTTTTTTAAGTAAGCTCTATGCCCATCGTGGGACCTGAATACACAACCCTGACAGCAAGAGTTCCAGGCTCCACTGACTGAGCCAGCCAGGCACCCCTGGGTCTATTCACCTTTAACATTTTTTTTTCTCTCTTCCTTTTTAGCTATTTCAAGAAGCCCCTGAATATCTACTTTGGATTTATTCCTGAAATAATCTTCATGACCTCTTTGTTTGGCTACTTGGTTATCCTTATATTTTACAAGTGGACAGCCTATAATGCTAATACATCTGAGAAAGCGCCAAGCCTCCTGATCCATTTCATAAACATGTTTCTCTTTTCCTACGGGGACTCTAGTAATTCGATGCTGTATTCCGGACAGGTGTGTCAACCCGGAGGTGGACTGTCTTAGGTAGTTACCCTAGATCAGGAAGCCAGATATTTCTGTGACTCTGGAAAAGCCTTTAAAAATCTCTTTCTGTGGTATTAGTTTTCAGCCCATACATCAGACCTAAATTCAGCCCATCCTCCTTAGCTTCAGAGGATCTAATGTAATTCCTGTGTCCACAAAGGGTAGAATTTATAACTCCCATCCTGTGAGACAATTCCTGGGCTTTGCCACAACATCTTCTAATTATTTTGAGAAGCTAGATAGTGTTATTCCTAGATCAGTAAGAAAGTACTGTTTGGGGGAAATTTGTGCTGGAGTTGGAAACTGTGTGTTTGATTAATGTGATGTGCCTTGTCCTTACTTTGTAGAAAGGAATTCAGTGTTTCCTGGTAGTGGTTGCGCTACTGTGTGTACCTTGGATGCTACTATTTAAACCACTGGTCCTTCGCCATCAATATTTGAGGAGGAAGCATTTGGTGGGTGTACTTTTATTGCTGAAAGTTACTAGATTTTTTTTTCCTTGAGATCAAGGCAATTCCTCACCAGATATAATGAATCGTGTATAAGTCTATATGCTCTTAAAATGCACTTGTGTCATATCCCAGCATGAGCACTGGACCTGCTGAAATTTAAAAAACAAAAAACAAAAAAACCCATGTACTTGCTGTTTGAACATCTGGATTCAGCTTTGAGTAGCTCAGGTAGAGGAAACAAGTCATAAGTTTCTACCTTTCCTGGTCATGCTTTGCTCATGCTGTGCTTAGCACAGTCCAGGTCTGGGCCTGCCTAGATGCAGCATCAGCCAAATCAGGGCTGTAAGAGCTGCAGGTGGGTGAACCCACTCATGTGGTTTGCCTGGGCAACCACAAGGCTGACGCTGAGACATTTTCTTTTAAAATGAGACCATGATACTTTCACCAATCAAGACATCCGGAAAAAAGATTTGGTTTAAAGAACATTGATTTTTTTTTTTTCTTTTGAAAAAGCAGCACATACACTTGTGTTTACTTAATGTATGTGTGCTTATGAATTCTACACACACACACTTAAGTTGCCAAATTTTCATTTCTGGCTGTGCAATAATGCTTACTTAACACACTGGCTAGTAAAGCCCAAAAGATCTTACTGCATGACTCTCATACGGCTGTTAGATTATGATTCCTTTTTGAGAGCAGCTGAGTTACAAGACCCTCCTTCTCCCTTTTCTGACCATCTTCATCCTTCCATGTACCCTCCATCCGTCTCCCCCCTCACTCCTTCCCTCTTTTGTTTCGTTCTCCCTTCCTCTTCTCTTCCGTTCACTATCAGGAAGGGCAGCCTGTGGAGGCCCCAGTCAGCCCAACCCCGAGCCAGCAGGGACTAGAGGCAGCAGCGGCTGCAACAGTGAGTGAATTAAAACTGACAAACCATCACATTTTGTGTAAAGAGGTGGCAAACAGTGCAGCAGAATTCTTTTCAGTTATATTGAGAGCATGGGACATGTGAGCTCTTGGGAAGTACATCCTTGTTACTCATTAAGACAATGATAGGGGCGCCTGGGTGGCTCAGTTGGTTAAGCGACTGCCTTCGGCTCAGGTCATGATCCTGGAGTCCCGGGATCGAGTCCTGCATCGGGCTCCCTGCTCGGCGGGGAGTCTGCTTCTCCCTCTGACCCGAACCCCTCTCATGTGCTCTCTCTCTCATTCTCTCTCTGTCAAATAAATAAATAAATAAAAATCTTAAAAAAAAAAAATTCCACTGAAAGGGTACATAACTGTAAAAGAAATGTTTAAAAAAAAAAAAAAGACAATGACAAAAGATTTCCACCTCTTATGAATAGATTCTAATGTCATCTTTACCATTGGTCTACTAAGTTTCTATTAAAAACTGTAAGTACAGTCATGTCTATGGAAGCAGTTTGACTGTTGTACCCTCTCAGAATCCCATTATCTTAATCCAAGATGGCAGCTCTTGGACTCATCCACTCTCATGTCTGTCTTTTGTAACCATATATTAGATGATTTTTCAGCATGGGGTGAGAACATTCCTGTGATTCTTGAATTAATTTCCCTGCTCTTTAAGCTTCTGCTTTGGAGGGACGCATGGACATTTGGTCCATTTTAGCTATGACTTTCTCTCCTGCCAGTGGGGCCTTATACATGTCTACTCTGTTGTGAGAGACTCAGAAGCCCTCCTGTCCTCAGCTGCTCCACTGAGACCTCCAGTCTGCGTGGGTCGTATGTACCGTCTGCATCTGATGCAGTAAGCAAAGTCATCTGTTTGGATCTTTCCTTCTTTAAATACCAACTCATAATTCAGCAACAGCACTTTGAATGTTAAGCATTTCAGTATTTGCCCTTAAAAATATCTTTTAACCAAACTCTTTTAATGCACTGTTACCAACTTAGCCCAGTCTATTCTAGGTAATCAATAAGATGTTTAAAATCTCACCAGCAGTGATCACACATGTTACTAGTGTGATCTAACGGCATCATACTCCTTTAAAAGAAAATGAAATATTCAGATGGATGACTATTTCCTTCATTAGGTGTTTCTGATCATTTTAAACTTAGAAACCTGCCATAATCATCCTTCTAGAATGAGTCTCTGACATTTTGGATCAGAAGGGCTGACATTTTGGATCAGAAGATAATTTAATGTTACTGCTTTTAATTATGTTCAAAAAGGGACTTACTCTCTCCTTTCCTGTGAGAAATTAAAAAAAAAAAAAACAACCCACAAAGCACATACTATACCATTATCGACATTCTTTCCCAGTGCTCTTCTTTTTCCTAGTCTTAGCATATTTATGATGTGCTTCTGATGCATCAGTCTTGATGCTTTTAACTCTGGTATCCTCTTCTGTGACACTACCCAAATTAAATGTCCCCAGTCTGGAAAGCTGCACATTCATAGGGTCTTCTTCGCCCCACTGGTTCTTTAGCGAAATATCTGGTTCTAGAGAGCAGCCTGAAGGTATCAGGATGGTCATTTTACAACAAGGGTCCTGGATTCTTGACCCTAAGGGCTGAGGATACGATCATTGATCTGTGTTCTGTTCTATGTCCTCTTGGTTGTCTATAAGTGGTATATCACAGTTTACCTTTTTCTTTTCTTTTTTCTGCTGATGTATATATCTCTTCCCCCCTTCCTATAACTCTCATGTCCTGTGTCCTGAAGGGACACTTCTTAGTGTCTGCCTGGGGAGGTGATTTATTTACCTGTCTGCCCCTCACTCTGCTGGTTGGGGAAAGTTTCAGAAATGACCTTCTGTTTTGGGAGCCTTAAAGCCTGAAGGCTGCCTGGACCCTGTAACCCATGTCAGGGTACGCTGGGGTCCTCTCCTGTCACCAGTGACCTTTGTTGTACTTGCAGTCCACCTTCTGAGGGTTGTCAGGTGTAAGGTTCACATGACCTGGAGGTGCCCAGGGTCTCAGGGCTTCCCGAATCTGACTACACATCAAAATCACCTGGTAAACTTTAAATTTGTTTGTTTCTTAGGGTATTAAAACAAAAGAAGTAATAAAGATGGTCCCTAATTCCATGACCTAGGCAATCCCCTACTGACATTGAAAAGTAAAATTAGGGGACACCTGGGTGACTCAGTCGGTTAAGCGTCTGGCTCTTGATCTCAGCTCATGTCTTGATCTCAGGGTTGTGAGTTCAAGCCCCATGTTGGGGCTACTAAAACCCTACTAAAACAAAAACACAAAAAAGTAAAATTAAAGCAATAGGTTAGAGAATGCAAGTAGTATAGAAAGAGAAAGCACCCCCTCTCCCCAGGCCCCTTCTCCTGCTCAAAGGCAAGGGAATTTTGCTTCCAAATTTTTTCTGCATATATCTATTATCCATTAATATAAATATGTATATATGTTTGTACATGTATATGTATATGTGTTTAAAACACACTAGGAATTGTGTTTTAAACTGACTCTTCTGCCCCTTGATTTATTAGGTTTTAAAATTTTTAGTGTATCCTGGGAGATTGTTTCACTCTTTTATAGTTGTCTAGTATTCCATAGAACATTCTGTTGGATATGCTAAAATTGTGTAATCACTCTCTTGTTGATGGATGTGTTGGTTGTTCCCAATTCTTTGCTTTTACAGATATGAATGCAGGGAATATCATAGTCCGTGTACCTTGATAAAATTTCATAAACATAGATGTTCCCAGCAGTGGGACTGCTAAGTCTCAAAGGGTACTTGCATTTTTTTGCGTGTGCTTACATTTTCAATTTTGATAGACAGTAAAAATGATTATATAGTTTGTACTTGGGGAAATATTTTTTTTAAACATAGATTTCCTAAGCCCCACTCCAGACCTACTAAATGTATAATTTCTGGAGGTAGCATTTGAGAATCTCTATTTAATTTCAAGGTGATTCTGATGCAGCTGGTTCTCTGACCAGCACGGGAGAACCCCTGCTACAAGGAGAGAGAGACTTTGCCCGGACACTGAGTTCTGGTAGTCCATAAGCTGTGGTAGAAGGTGCACACCAAAAGGTGAAGCTGTGAGTGGGGACCCCAGGGCAGTTGACCAAACCTGTTGGCACATCGCGTACTGCTGCCCGGAAGGCCGTTTTGCAGGAGAGCAGTTTTTAAACTCTTGCCTCCTTTGGGCTTCCTGATCAGAAACCACAAGAAGTGGGCCTAGGGGCTGTTTCTTAGCTCCTTTTCCCTCTGGTAGATTAGCACTCATTGCTATTTGTCTGACTTCACCCCAGTTCTGCCTGGTTTTTGCACTCAAAGAGTCCTTTTGCCTCAATTAAGCCAAGCTTTTCCAAGTCAGGTTGACTTAAAAATTCTGGTTCTGGGGAACCCGTTGAACACAATGCCTGGGAAACGGGAAGAAGCAAGCACTCAATCACCATCTGCCCACAGGCCTGTAAAAGAGTTGTTTTAACACTCCAGAGTCCTCCACTGAAGGAAAGGAGCCTTTTTCTTTTTCTTTCTTTCTTTTTTTTTTTTTTTAAACTCCATATTCTCTAGCCATAGGCTGATGCACATTAAGCTTTTTTTCCCTTCCCTGATCTAGGAAGTCCTTTGTTCCTGGGTAGAGACCCGGTCCGCTTCTGAGAGAAGTTGCTGGAACTCTTGGGTTCCAGTTGAAAGTGTATCCGACCAGGTTATAGTCACCATTGTCATTTGGCTCCCCTCCCTCTTAGAAAGTCTGATCTTGAGTTCTAGAAAAACTTAGAGCACTGACAGCTTTACAGATAGAGTTATAGTCATTGTAAGAGTCTGTTCATATGAAGCTTTTTGTCCAAGCAGGCATCTCAATTAGCCTTGACTGAGGCCAGGTCGGTGCATCCTGGTGTGGCAGGCAGAACTGATCAGATTGAGGTAGTAAATGCAGGGGCTGGGGCTGGGCCGGTGGTGGTTGGGGCGGGGACAGTGGTTTGTGTTTACTTAGCTGTTGGATCAGCGGGTTTTGATTTTGTTGTTAGAATATATGCTTTTCTGAGGTTTGTATGCACTAACCATCGCCCTTCCCCACCTCACAGAATGTCACATTAAAGCCCAGGCAAATTCTACTCTTTCTGTTCATCTGTGTAGGGAACTCTCAACTTTGGTGGGATCAGGGTGGGCAACGGACCGACAGAGGAGGATGCTGAGATTATTCAGCATGACCAGCTCTCCACCCATTCAGAGGACGCGGAAGAGGTAAGATCCAGTGGCATGGGCTTCCTCTCCTTCTCTTGTGGGGCAGCCCTCGTCTTGTGTGCGGTAATGGCCTCCCTCCAGTCTTCTTGAAAAATGAAAATGCTAATACTAGTGATCAGCCTGCCTTCTGGGCCTCTTCGGGCAGCACAGCTTTTTCCAGCGGGCCTGCTGTGAACTCCAGGTGCCCCCTGGGTGCCCGTGGCACTTGTGTTCCCTTGTCCCAACTCGTGGAATTCTGAGTTGCCCGCAGTACTCTGCATGCCAATCTCAGTGACTGACTGTCCTCCTGGGGACCAGGGGCAGAGTGGGCCCAGGCTTCCCCGCTCTTGTTACCAGAAACACAGCCCCCTCAGGGCAGCTTCTTCATCCCTTGCCCCTTCCAGGAATGGTTCCAGTTGGAACTGTAACCGTGGGTACTTTTTAAAGTCTTGTCCCACTAATGTGCTCCTGTTGCAGATACATTATTTGAGCTTTTTAAAAATGTTATTTGCCTACTCTTTACAGGGAGAGTGAAAAGTAATAAGGCCAAATTAGACTTTTCCTTAAACCACCACCTCCAAGCTGATTTTTAAAATCCAGTCCCCTTGCCTGACCACTCACACCACCAACCTCTGAACTGAACTTTTGAATGTCATCTATTCATTATATTCTTTTGTTGTTGTTGTTGTTGTTGTTATATTCTTTTTGAAGCAAATAGAATGGGAGTTGGGGACCTAGGTGACTGAACTTCTCAGTCTGACTGACCACGTCCCCTATGTGTATGACATTTTAAAAAAGAAATTATAAGGGTTGGGGTGCCTTTAAAAAATACGTATCTTAATGCTCTGAATCCCACTGGGTTTGCTTTCTGTGTATGCTGAGGAGGCCTGCCTCCAACACATGAGGCCCATTTAACATTAACAGTTTTCCCGAGAAACAGTCAATAACCTTGTGCTTGTGACTTGTGACTGTGTGGCATGGCTTCCCACTAAGTGTAAATTTGTGTTTACAAGCCTACCGAGGATGAAGTGGTAAGAAACAAGCTGGCTTTGCCTTCATGTTTATCTGGGGCTTCTCTTTGCCATCCTTGTGATCCGTCTGCCGACCCTGCTGCAGCCGGGGGCCCACACATGCCACCCGTGCATCCCGCATCTCACTGGCCATTTCTAACCAGTTCGTGAACCTGTGTTCTGAAAAAGCTCATCTCCATTAACTGCATCTCATGTCGGTCACCTCTGTCTTTGTATCATTGACTTTGCTGATCTAATGCCTCTGAGAATGGCTTGAAAGGAACTACAAGTAATGTCTGCTTTGGCATTCTTGAGGTGACCCCCTTGGGGGTTAAATCCCAGTGGTCTTTGCTTTCCTCTCCTGTGGTGTTATGTTTGGTATGGTAGCTCTGCCGCTGGGAGTAGCTGTTTCCTCCTTGCTCCTCGGAGAGCTTGTGAGTAAAGCTCACCCTTCCTCCCTGTCTGAGATGCAGCCAACCTCTTTCTACTGTCCTCATCAGCTTGATGATACTTGAAGTGAGGATTGCTGGGCCCTCACTTGAGGTCAGATCTACCTCCCTGTGACCCAGGTGGGAGGGAGACAGCTTTCAAAAAGGAGGCTTTGCCTCTCCGATGTATCCCAGAGAAAATCCCATCTGTGTGACAGGAGTTCATATTATACCAGATAATAGAAACAAAGTTGTCTATTCAGGCCACATTTGGAGTAGAAGGCCTTCTAGCTCAGCAGTAATTCATTTAGCAATACACAGATTTTAAATTGGGTTTTTTAAAGGCCTTGCTGCACTGTTTGCATCTTTCCCCAAAACTTTTCTCTAAAATACCTAGACCCATGAACCCTTCCCTTTCCTGGCTCTCCTGGTCCTCTCTAAAGGGGCAGTGGGATGGGAACAGGAAAACCTGTGCTGTTCTGTGTAAAAACAGACCGTGCTCTGTCTTCCTGAAGGCTGGAGAGGCTCTTTTGCTGGCATCCAGGAGCCTCTGTGTTCCTGTGAGCTGCTCATCATAGTCACTGGTTGAGCTGCCTGGAAGGGCTGGCTGGGAGTGTGTGTTAGGAGCCCCTAACAACACTGTTCTTGCCAAGTGTCTTCCTAGTTGAGCACCCAGTGCCATGGTCATCGTCAGAATGGTCCTCATTTGTAAGCCAAGTCCCAGGGTCTTCGGACAACCACACAAGACGGACTGTAATTCAGCCTCCCTAGTCTCTGTCCCTCCGCTCCCTCAAGGGTTCAGCTTCCCGTGGCTTCCTAAATAATAATGACATTTTATCTTTATCAGGCACATGTACAGTCTAGTTCTCCATAGCCAGATTTAGATTAACTGTTAGAATTATTTGAAGATTTCAAACAAAACTTTTTTTTTTAAGTCCAGCCTACTTCTTCGAGAACTTCCCCTTTTTGCTTGGCTGTGAAAACCTATATGTCCCATGTAGGCCATTATTCCAGCCTGGTGGAAGCAGTAGTCCTTCTCCCTGCGGAGCGCTAAGTCCAGTTGCAAACCAGAGCCAGGCCATTTGATCATCTGGGAAATCTTTAAAGGCTGTAACCATTCAGCAAGGGTCAGTGGCACCTCTCCCTACTGTGTCATCTCATCAGGTGTGGTCTTCCCACCTGTCCATCCGTGTACTCATTCTATCCGTCCATGTTTTCATTTATCCCACCCACCCATCCTCCATTCAGTCATCCCGCTCACCCATCTGTCCATCTGTCCATCCCACCCACCCATTCATCTGTTCATTCATCCCACCCACCCTCCCATCCATTAATTCTTTTATCCCACCCATTCATTCATTCATTCATTCACCCTCTATGTGCCAAGCACTCTGGTGCTACAGAAACTGCAGGAAGAGAAGCATAGCCCTTGCCTCCAAGGAACTCCCAGCCAAATTGAGCAAACAGTCTGGGTGACAGATGGTGTGATTAAGGTGTGCCCAGGATGCTGTGGGAACACAGAAAGAGGGCACCTGACGAGCACTGGGGTGGGGTGGAGAAGAGGAGACCAGGAAGTGATTCCCTGAGGAGATTGTTGCTAACTTAGTCCAGTCAAGCAGGAGTCTCTGTGGGGACTGGGTGGGAATGCAGACCCATTAGTGTGTATAGTTATCTGAAAGACAGGCGTGTGGGCCCATCACGTGTTGGGGATAAACAAGTACGCAGCGGTAGAGTGTTTGGATAGCAAGGAGCCAGTCAGAGGACATTGCTGAAATGCTCTAGTGGGGGTGTTCTAGGGGATATTGGATTGGGGAGAGGTCACAGTCTGGAGGCATGGAGACCAGCTAGTCTGATACGAGTGATGAAAGAATTGGGAGGCTTGAAGTGAAGTGAGGCATTTGCAGGGAGTTGGAGAGGAAGGGACGGATAATGAGATCAAGGAAGTTAGAGCTACAGGTCCCAGGGCCTTAATGAATGTAGGCAGTGAGAGTGAGGATTCAAGATTGACTTCCAGGCCTGGGTGCCTGGGGCCCTAGTGATGACGCTGTTAGACATGGGACATGGAGTAGAAGTAGGTCCCGGTGGGGTCAGAGGAGAGTGATTAATGAGTTTGGGCGGCACTGAGTTTGAAGCGCCTGTGGTACACTAGGAGGAGATGTAGCACGGCTAGTTGGAAACAGTCAACGTGGAAATGAAGGTGTCCATCTGGGAGTCACTCCTACGGGTGGCCCTCTAAGCCCTGAGCGGCCGCGCTGCAGGAGAGGTGTAAGAGCTGAGGCTGGACCTCCAGCATTTAAGGAAGAACCAAGATGGAGACTGGGAGGGAGCATCCAGGGAGGTAGGAGGAAAACCGAGGGCAGGCGAATGTCTACAGAGGGAGGAGGAAAAGGTGACAGTGGGAGACACTGCAGGGGCTCAGTCAGGACACAGAATGTGTTAGACCTCACATCTGGGAGGCAAGGGAGCGGGTGCCGGGAAGGTCGGGTTTGTGGGGCAGAGAGGGTGGAGGGCAGGGCCCGGGAGGTGAAGAGGGGATGGGCCGCGCACCTGGAGGAGTGTGTAGACCGGGAGTCTGCAGCTGCCCTCCTCAGTCACAGCTGACTCCGGAGGCAGTGATACAGGCTCCTGAATGCTTGACTGCATTTCACCCTAACTCCTCACCCACCACAGTCTTCCCCCATCATATAGAGATGAAAACTTGCCCAAGGTTACAAAGCAGGAAGTTGGGAAGAAGAGAAAGTGCAGAGAGTGTGTGTAATACCCAGAAGGGAGGCTTCCTCCGTGTGTGTTCTCCATTCTTCTGGGAAGAACTCTGGGTAGAATAAAACTGCTGAAAGGGGCCTGGTTCTACAGCAGTCCCTGCTTTCGTGGAGCTCTTAGGAGCAGAGACCAGTGCTCCTGGGAGCAGGGACCTTTCCTTCCTCTGAGCACGGGCCCTGGGGCAACAGCCAGCACTGGTGGGAAAGAGCTCTTAGCAGCGTTGTTGGGATTGGGGTAACGAGTTTTTAGGGTAACTAGGAGGCTTGAAGAGCCTGTTGCAGAAGAAAAGCCCAGAAATACTCAGAATGTAGATGGTCAGGTGAGGGAAACTGAGGCAGTCGCCCAAAGATGGCATGTTGGAGCCGGTCTCTCTCCCTCCTGGCCGCACCCCTGAGGCCTGGGCTGTTAGCACTTTACCAGCCAGGTCCTTCTCTTGTCCTGCCCTCATGCAATTTCCAAAAACACTTCTGGTGTCCTTTGGGAGTGGTCATGTGAGTCTTGAAAGAAACTGGTGAAAAACAGACTCTGACCTGAAGGCAGGGTAGGCGGGGAGGCCCTGTGCTTCTGGGGTTCTGGGCGGGCTGTGTGGGAGGAGCCCAGGAAGGGCCCGCCTCCTGTTCTTTGGCAGCTGATTGCTCCACCTGGCAGGGTGGGGGAAGGCCTGGAAGTGTGCCTGGCGCGCTGTAGAGATGCCGGTAATTCTTCCCAGCCCGGCTTGGAGCGGGCTGCATGTGAACTCCGGCAAGCTTGTTCTAGCTCTACCCCCTTATTCTGGAAACAGTTTCGTTGTTTGTTTTTTTAAAAGATTTTATTTATTTATTTGACAGAGACACAGCGAGAGAGGGAACACAAGCAGGGGGAGCGGGAGAGGGAGAAGCAGGCTTCCTGCGGAGCAAGGAGCCCAATGCGGGGCTCGATCCCAGGACCCCGGGATCATGACCTGAGCCGAAGGCAGACGCTTAACGACTGAGCCACCCAGGCGCCCCTGGAAACGGTTTTTGATGTGGGAAGGAAAGCTGGGAGAAAGGGAGCGTAAGAAAAACAGAAACAAAAAAACAATAGATGTTCAGTGTGGTCTCAGTCAACTGGAGGATTTTGGAAAACTTTTGTCAGAATTTCCCTGTGTCATCTTCTCAGAAGCCACCAAAAAAAAAAAAAAAAGTTATCTTGCTCCCAGCAGGTTGTAAGAATAATAAGTGGAGTGGCTGTAGAGGCTTAGTGTTGCCTCGGCAGCCTCTGGCCTGATAGCCTGTCACCTGAAGCATGGCCGGGGAAAGCCCTTCTGCTCTCCTGACTCAGAGCAGGGCGCTTCCCTCGGGCACTGTAAGGAGGAAGTCAGCTGGAGGAGGCCCAGCAGCAGGGCCCTACGAGTCCCGCGTCCAGACAGTCCATTTCTCTGAGCGCTCTTAACTCGGCATACATTCCACTCTTGAGCTTACAGTCTAGTGGGAAGAAAAAACAAATGGGTTGAGAATCATCTCATTAAGATGGAGGTCATTAAAATGTAGAGAATTAAGGGAAATGGGGTGTCCCAGTTGGGGGCTAAGCCAGGCAAGATTTCTGGGGATAGCATAGCTGAAATCACCACCTGAGTTCAGCGTTGGGGGTTCCTGGCCCATGTAACCGTTAGTCCTGGCGCTCACACCCAGGCCCAAAGCACCAAGTGGCCACAGCACCATCTACACATCCCCTCTCAGCCTCATATCTTCTCTCTGGTTTCCTCCCATGACAGTTTGACTTTGGGGACACCATGGTCCACCAGGCCATCCACACCATCGAGTACTGCCTGGGCTGCATCTCTAACACCGCCTCCTACCTGCGGCTCTGGGCCCTCAGCCTTGCTCATGCACGTGAGTGTATTTCTCTCAGGTCGAAAATTATGGTTTTCCCCTTCTCTGGGCACTCTCTCAGATGTAGGGCTTAAGTAGAGTGGAAATAACATAAGGGTTCTGGAATTATTCAGACTCCTGAATCCTGGGAGAACAACGTCCAAATGGGAGGACCAGTGCCTTCGCCAGGTTAGCTATGCATGGTAGTCCCCCTAAGGCTGCAGGGAGCCAGGGTGCAGCAGACAGTTCAGGTGAGGGACAGCAGAGCAAACTGGAAGGCCCACAATACCTCTTGCCAAACTGAACCGGATGTCCCGTCTCTGCATTCCCCAGAGCTGTCTGAGGTGCTTTGGACCATGGTGATCCACATCGGCCTCAGCGTGAAGAGCTTGGCAGGAGGTCTGGCGCTGTTCTTCATTTTCGCCGCCTTTGCCACCCTGACCGTGGCCATCCTGCTGATCATGGAGGGCCTCTCGGCCTTCCTCCATGCGCTGCGGTTACACTGGTGAGCGGCAGCGAGTTCGGGGGACTGGGGATGTGTCCTTAGCTGCTCGGAGGGCAGCTCTGCTCTTGTACAGAATCCGGAGACACTAGGAAGTGTCTGCTTTCATTCACATCATTATGCCCAAGGACCTACATTAGGAGTGAGCATCAGGAAACCTCCACAAAAGCACAGCTCACTCTTCAGAGCCCCCAAGGGAGAATTCTCTGGTGGGTGTTGTCAGATTCCCTCTCCCTGCCTTTAGCCTTCTTCACTGCTCTTGATTATGGACCTGCTGAGGTTGTTGGTTTGTTTGGGGTTTTTCAGCTCTGGCATAAACTTTCTCCTGTCTTCAGAGCGATGGAAGCAACTCTGGAATAGATTGGCAGTCCAGGAAGATGCTAGAGCACACTGTACCCCAGTTTTGTCCCCCTTGTTCTGTCATTGTGCCCGTGTCTTTGGGTAGGAGCCCTGGCAACTCCATGTGGGTAGGGGGCGTTCCTGGTTCCATAGTGTGTAGCTCAGTGCCCTGAAGCAGCTTCTTCAGAAGGGCAGGTTTGGATTTGTTTGTTTTCCTTAAAGTAGTTTGTGGCTTTTAATGGCTCTGTCTGGAGAGAGCTAGCTCAGTCCCAGGGGGTGGGAGAGGTGCGGTCTGGTCCAGGCAGTGAGGTCCTGACCTCAAGGTAGGATTGCCAGATTTAGCAAATAAAATTACAGGACATCCAGTAAAATTTGAATTTCAGATAAACAGTGAATTTTTTTTTTAGTACAAGTATTTCCCAAATGTACATGGGACATACTCATACTAAAAACTAGGCATCCTGTACTTTATCTGGCTTCTCTACCTCAAGCCCTCCCTCTTTTGAGTCTCTGCTTCCTCCTTTATGTTGTGATTCTCCCTCTCTTTTTGGGTCTCAAACCCCAGTGGCCCTGGAAGCTCTGGGCCCTCTCCCTAGAGAAACATCCCCCCCAATAGTTTTACCCATTTAGGGCGGCCACAAACTCACTGACCCTACCTTAGGAATTCCTAGACGAGATGGTCTGTGGTGCTGATGATCTCAAGATCAGAGTGTGTGTAGAATGTCTCGTTACATCCGTTTTCTAAACCTGAACCCAAGGATCCTCTGCCCCATTCCCCTTATCTTTGGTTTTCCTCCTGACTTGGTTATGCTGAGCCCCCTCAAAGATTCCTCTGTTATGGACAGAGGGGAATGTGAGGCACGGAAGGGCGGGGCGCAACTGGGACTTATTCTTCCCTCAAAAGCTCCTTTAAAATAACCCGTCCTCTGGCTGGCTTCCTCCTCCTTGCTGCCCTCCTCCCCACCCAGCTGTTGTTTATCTACTGTCCAGCCAGGAGGTTAGGAGCGCTGTGTGGCTCAGACTGCTGGCACGCCACCCTGTTCTCAGCTTATCAGCATACTCTCTCCCCAGCACACTTCCTCAGCCACTTGGTATGAGGCAATGTCTGTGTGACCAGCCTCTGGTGACTCACTGTTTCTTCCTTCCTTCCCTAGTCACTTCTCTGTCTTCCTGCGCCCTGTGCTGGAGGGGCCAGTTACTACCCCACCTGAATCCCAACCCAAGTGGGGAGCCTGTAGCCTCCTCCCTGGGCGGGCCGGGGAGCAGTCACGGTGCTGGGTCAGAACTGTCAGAGCAGGGAGCCAGGCTTACACAGGGTGAGGAAGGTCGCTGGAGCCTGGGCCTAATCTCCAGAGTGAGCAGAGGCAGCCTGGGAGGCCATGTTTTGTTGTGGCCAGAAGGATTATGTCCCCCTCAGGCTTACCTGTGGCCTTCAAATGAAGGTGTCTTCCCACGGCCCCGTGAATGAGCCCAAGGACCTGATGAGCGGCAAGAGAACAGGCTTCAGAATTAGGCCCACCTGGGTTCAAATTCCATCTCTGCTGTCACTGGCTGGGTGACCCCCAGAGGAGAGCACTTACCTCACTGAACCTTACTTTCTCTCAGGTGAAGAGAGGATGGTATCCACGTAACGTGGTTGTGGTGATGAATAGGAAATAATGTGCGTACCAGGTGCCTGTCACAGTGCCCTGGCTCATCATAACTGTGTTCAAGTGCACATCGCAGCCACCCTGCTTAGAAGTGGGCTGCCCTGTGGAGAGGGCATCTTGGCCATGGTCCCTTGTAAAGAAACTGCTTTTAGTGTTTAGAGAGGGGAGACCCCCTGGAGGAAGCACATCTGAATGCCCGTAATTTTCAAGGAATGGGCTCGTCAGACAAACCTGTGGGTTGGTTGGTTAGGGTAGTAGAGGTATTACGGAGAAGAGAAACACGAAACTGTTCGGCTTTCAGAATCCATTGTTGGAGGCACGTTTGGAGCCTCGCCCTTACTGAAAGGGGGTGAATGAAACGGGTGCTCGTGCTCCCCCTCCTGGCCGAATATGGATGCACTGCAGGGATTCCTGGGCCTTCTTGTCCCCCAGGTCTGCAGGAATTCTGAGTTATGGCCCCCTTGTGAGGCTGGGGACAGCTGGTCCTGCCGAAAATGGCTGCGGGACATTGCTGCTATTTTTCCTGGGGTCCAGCCTGGGCGTCCTCATACCTGTCACTTTACCCCTGGCTGTCAGCTGGGGTTTCCTGATCCTGATGCAAGGGCTGCCCCATTATAAAAGTTCTGGATGTCTTCAGTGGGGACAAGAACCACAATGTCTGCTTTGGTAACAAACATAAACCACTAGTCTGAGATTCGTGTGGGGTCCTAAAGGAGGTGGGTGATATATTTGAAAACAAGAGTGAACAGGTTACTGTCCCAACTTGCTGATTTCATCTCCTTCTGTGTTACGTGTCTATCTATTTTTGCCTACTGTAATTAGCTGTCTTTTCTTCCTCAGGAAAGGCAAAGGCAGGGATAGGATTTGTCAGTTTGTGGACACCAAACTGACTTTAGTAGAAAGACTGTTGCCCCCTGGCCCACTTTCAGGAACTAAATCCCTTCTTAGCAGATCCCACATACGTGTCGATGTGCACACTTGCACACTCACAAACTCCCAACTCCCTTGGTCGAGGGCCAAAGGAAGGGGGGACCATATTGTCATAAGGAATGGAGTGGCACCGCAGCAGGTTACCACAGGACGGGTGCGGGAACGGCTGGCCCGGAAGAAAGCACACCTCAGGTGTGGTTCCTGGCTGCCGTCATTGCCCTGACATGTGGGCCATTAGACAGATGTGTGTTCCAGGCCCTGGACTGCTCAGAGAGCGGCAGAAAGGGCCAGAGAAGCAGCTCGGTCTAGGATCATCTTCCTAAAACTGCCTCTTCTCACTCACACCCCCGCTAGGAAAGGGAGGAGACCCTTCCCTCACTCAAGGAAATAAGGTTTCCTATTAGGTAGCAGTGGTGAGTGCTCCGGGACTCCCACTTATCCTTCGGGGTCACTGGGTGGCCTTTGCCAGTACCGCAGCTGGAAGGGAAGGGGTGTCCGAGAAACCCATCCGATTTCCTGACACCCTCCTCACAACCGTAGAATTCTAGAGGTGGCTTGGGGCACGGCGGAGCCCTGGAGGCTCCCTGGGTGGTGTAGCAGGCTCCTAAAATAAGAGGACCCAGCAGGGCCCTGGCGCAAAGAACTTCGTGTTTGTACTTTCTCAGGAAGTACACATTTCCCTGCTTGGGAGGGAGGGGTGGTTGGGCAGTCCGATAGGGAGATTGCTTTCCAGCTTTGTTCCGGGAGGTTGGGGTAAGTGAGGCCGAGAAGGGGCATGAAGTCAGGCTGACCATGAGCTGCCTGAGGTGTCCGTGGTGGTGGCCACCCTAAGTCTAACCACAGGCAGTGGCTGGTGGTAGAGGTGGTATCAGGCCATGTGTCAGAGGGACCGCCCATGGACTCACTTGGCAGAATTTATGCACCTGCATCCCAGACACTTGTAGCCCTTCCTTCCCGCTGGGCCCCCTGGGTAGATGAGGCACACAGAGGAATGCCAAGAGAAGGATGGTGATCCCACGGGCATCTGAAAACTTCTGAAGCTTCTAGTCCATTCATCCAGTCTGGAATTCAAATTGTTTGTGTGATTAGCCAGCCAGGGGCTCAGAGTTCTGGACCCCGAGTAGACCCTAAGATGACCTGCCCACCATCTCGATAAATGTTGTTGAATGCAAACGGGATGTGTCGGTCTCTTTCCAGTTGTTCAGAAATGCGCTTGCCATATGCAAACAGCCTACTCAACGTGAAGGACCAGACAGCAGTGGGTGAGAGGCAGGAACCCACCCCATCCCCACCTAATTCCCCCAACGGAGGCCTGAATAGCTGTAGCTTCTAGGACTTCTCGGGGTTGGGATGTGTGAATGAGTCCAGATCCCGGGTTGAAATTGCTTTTGCCAGGAATCCTGTGACTGACTTCAGTTTGAAGCCCCTTCCCCCAGGTCCTATTTTCCCTTGGCCCAGGGACCCCTCCAGAGTCTGGGAGGCTTTGGGACCTTGGCCCAGCCCCTGGAATGTGGGGCTGGGAGGAGAAGGCCGCCTGTTCTTACGCCCACGCAGAAAATTCTGTTCACCTCTTCTCCTCAGGGAGTGGAGCCGGCAGCTCTGCAGTGTCCTCAGCCAGCACCCCAGGGCTGACGGGGCCTCTGAGGACCTCTGAGGGCCACCACAGACTGACCCCCGAAGCAGACAGTCCTTCCACCATGCCCTGCATGAGCACCATTGCCTGCAGCGGGCCCCAGCTCCGAGCCCCGCCTGTCCTTCTGTCCTTCTGGCGTCCCCAGGGTCACTCAGCGCTGAGTGGAAACCATTCCTCAGGGCAGCTCTCCTTGGCTTTTTTATTCTCTGAATCATGCATTTTTCTGCCCATATTTGGTGGTGGTTTGGTTGCTGGGCAGCCATCCAGGGAGTATGCAGGGGGAAGTGTAGCCTGCAGCCCAGCTCTGCTTCCAGGAGTGCTGTCTTCCTGCCCCTCAGAGTTGGAAAGGGCCCCAGGGAGACCTTCAGCGGTGGATGCTGGGCTGCCTGGGAAGGGAGGTGAAGCTCTGCTTTTCCTTTCAGCCCCTGAGAGAAGAATTCGTTCTCAGATGTTTTTGTAGTTGGAGAATATTTTTGCCATTACTTGGAGAAGACTCCTCCTCCCCCCCATGCCCCTTTCCTGGGAATTTCCTCCCCAAAGCCTCCAGTGTTTACTCAAAACCCTCCCTTCTCCTTCCTCCTGCAAGGAAAAGAAACAAACTAGAAAACAAGGGCACTTGCCAGAGTCCCTGGCGCTGAGCTCGCTGCTGCCCAGGGGCTTCCCTGAGAGTTGGGCCTCAAGCCCCTGAGCCCCGGCGGGAGTCCAGTGGATAGTCTCTACATTGCCCTTAGAGACTCAAACCAAGGGCACTTCTTTTGCACATGGCTAGACAAAGAGTTTTGCATAAACACACTGTGCTCAGCAGAAAGGAGCAGGAACTGAGGACAAACCAGGGAGGAGCTATGCGGCACTCTTGCCTTCAGAAGCAGGGCTTATGTGCGCTATGGGAACTAGGCCAAGCTCTGGGCTGGGTGGGTGGGTGGGTGGCAGAAGGCCAAGCTGCTTTCCCAAGCTCAGCTAGGAAAGCGAGGCCTTGGGGAGGAGAGTCAGAGCATCTTTCTAGCCCACTGTGAAATCCCAAAAGGATTCTGTGGAATGATGACACTCCTTTTCCCTTTCCCCAGGGTGGAGTTCCAGAATAAATTCTACAGCGGAACCGGTTTCAAGTTCCTGCCCTTCTCCTTCGAGCACATTCGGGAAGGGAAGTTTGACGAGTGAGCCCATCGTGGGGCTGTGTGCCGGCAGGCTGCCCTCCCCACTCCTTGCACAGTGGTTACCTGTGCTCCTCTTGCCTGTTGGTTGTGGTCCCTGGATATCGGGGCGTTTGTGTCATCCCAGCCACCCCTCCCCCAGCTGCCTGTGAGTCATTTAGATAGATCCGTCCCTCCCTGAGTCCCCTGCCACAGCCACCTTCGTGTGTAGTGTAGAGAGAAGCCGGGCTCTGGCTGTCACTTACACCCACTAGGCACCGGCCTTGCCCTCCCAGCCTCCGTCCAGCCAGAGACAGCCCCTTCTCTGTCCCCCGGTGATGAAAAAGTTTGTGCATTTTACATTTGAGCCCAAAGCCCACGGAAGGAGTGCTGTCACCATCCACACCCAGACTTTGAGCCCCCTTTTCCTGCCACTCTAGTTACTGGTTGGGGGCAGGGGTGCTCTTTAACATGCCCCATTCTTGGGTTAGCAGGGGTAGTTCCAGGAAGGTGGCATGTCTGTCCTCTGCCCATCCCCTCTGGTCTTCAGAACAGTTGTTAATCAGGAATTCAGCTGGACCCAGCTGTGCCGTCGTGCGCCGCTTCTCCCTGTCACTCCCAAGGGTCCCAGGGTGCCCAGCACCACCTCCCTAACCACGCCCTCTCCCCCTCCCTCCCAGAATCCCCTCCTTCCCCCTGCCCCTGTGTGTACCCAGCATAACAGCACAGCCGGGAGTGACCCGAGCAGAGAGGTCCTGGGCTGCCTCCTCTGGTCGGAGGCTTCTCAGGCCAAGCTGTGGGCCCTGCCACAAGCACGCTCTCTGGGCAGAGGGTTCAAACCGTTGCTCTTGCCTGGTGCAGACCCCAAGACCTTCCCCTACCCCCAATCATGAGTCTTGAGGGCAGGACCGTAGTCATCCAGGTGGTTCTGCCTGCAGAGCCTTCTCTGCCCTCCCGTGCCCCTCCCCACTTCCACTGGGGACCCCAGTCAAGGGAGTGGGGTCCTGGGCAGCGAAGGCTGGTGCCATTTACATTTTGCGGATTGGAGGCAATGGCCAGGGCTACAGTGTGCTGGTTGTGAGAGCTGCACCCCCACCCCCACCCCCACGGGCCACCTCTCCTGTCACCCCAGGGCTATGGCTTTTAGGGCCTTTGAATCATGTGTTGACACAGCAGCCCTGGCTGCTTCAGCTAAATTGAACCCTGGGGCCCCCAGTGGTGGAGATAATCCCCCGAATGGGCCAGGCCCCTGCCCTCCTCCCACCCTGGCTCTTCTGAGTGAGTTACTTAGAGCTGCTCACGACTCTCCTGGGCATGGGCCACCCACCCCAGCTTCCCCGTATGCTGGCCAGTGTGACCCTGTGCTGCGCCCCCTCCCCTCTGGGCCCGGTGGTTTACATGATGACTTTGCTCTGGGTACAGCAGGGTTTGAAGCAGAGCTCTTTGTCAGGAACCCTGCCCAAGGCCCTTGTGTTCACACATTCCTGTGCTGAATAAAGTGTGCTTGACCCTACCAGGGAGGCTGCCTGTCCTTGTGCCCACAGCCCCTGTGTCGCAGGCCCCTGCCCCTCCTCCAGCACGTCTGCTTTCCTGTGATCAGGCCACAGCTGCAGCCGGCAGTGTGTGAAATTCTCACCTCTCAAGTTTCCTGGGCGCCTTCCCCTCCCTCAAGCCCAGCAGCTTCTCAGATACTGCCTCCGGTGGGGAGGGGACCTGGGGACCCCTCCTCCTCTTCCTTTCCCACCCTACCCACCGAGACGGCAGGGCACGAGGGGGCCTGGGCATCTGCCCATCCGCCTCTCCCTCTTCTCCAAGTGTGCTTTCCAGGACTCAGGAGCCTGGATATTTTGAGCCCTGATGCCCTTGGCCTTGGTGTAAATAGAGGCTCTGCGTGGGGTTCCACAGGGCAGCGGGAGAATGTGAGGTGCTGAGGTAGGCAGGCGGCCGAGGAGCCAGCAGGCGGGGCGGGCAGGGAGGGTGCCGTCTCCCTCCTGACTGCCATGTAAGGCACCCACATTCTTCCTCCATGCCCTCCCTCTCCATTCCTCCTGGGACCTCCAGGACAGGGGCTGTGCAGGAATAGGAGCGGCGGGCTGACAGCTGCTGCTCCAGGAGGGGTGAGGGGGGCAGGAACCCCCCTGTTTCATGTTCCTTATCCTTGAGCCCTCTCCTCCCCGACAGGCCACTTGCCCTGGAATAGGCCCTTGAGTGCGGCACCCCCACCTGGCTCCACGCGTGAGCAGTCCAGGATGGGACTTAAGGTGGAGGAGCTCTTTAACCTCTGCTCTGTTACTGACTCAAAAGGGAGACTTAATAAGGAATAGATATTTGGACTCAGTGGAATAGAGTTGAGAGTCCAGAAGTAAATAGATTTACTTTGTGGAAGATTGAGCTTCCACAAAGGGGCCAAGACAATCCAGCATGGAAAGAACAGTCTTCAACAAGTAGTATTTACACAACTGGGTATCCACGTGCGAAAGAACAAATTTGGACTGCAGCCCCCACACTGTATTATAAAAATTAACTCAAAATGGGTCGTAGACCTAAATGTAAAAGCTAAAAACTAAAATTCCTAGGGGAAATTATAGAAGAATGTCTTCGCGAGCTTGGGTTAGGTGATGATTTTTAGATACAACACCAAAAGCAAAGCGATAAAAAGATTAAAGAGGGGCACCTGGGTGGCACAGTGGGTTAAGCGTCCGACTGTTGGTTTCAGTTCAGGTCCTGATCTCAGGCACAGCACTCAGTGCAGAGCCTCCTTGAGTTTCTCTCCCTCTCCCTCTACCCCACCCCCACCTCTTTCTCTCTCTCTTAAATAAATAAATCTTAAAAAAATAAATAAATAAAAGATTAGGGCCGCCTGGGTGGCTCAGTCAGTTGAGCATCCAACTCTTGATTTCGGCTCAGGTCATGAGATCAAGCCCCGCATTGGGCTCTGTGCTCAACACAGAGTCTGCTTCTCCCTCTCTTCCTCTTCCTCTGCCCCTCCCCCTGCCGCATACGCACAGGCTCGCTCTCTCTCTAAAATGAAATCTAAAAACAAAGATAAGGGCCTTAGTCTTACAAGGCTTTGTACTTTAAAGGACAGAATCCAAACAACCCTCACACTGGGAGACACTGCAAATCATATCTAATAATTATGGGACATATATCTTGAATATATAAAGAACTTTACAATTCAGTCATAATTATATAAATACCTTAATTTAAAAGGTAAAATTAGGGGTGCCTGGCTCAGTAGAGTGTGTGACTTTTGATCTTGGGGCAATGAGTTTGACCCATGTTGGGTATAGAGATTACTTTAAAATAAAATCTTAAGGGGTGCCTGAGTGCCTCAGTCGGTTAAGTGGCTGCCTTCGGCTCAGGTCATGATCTCAGGGTCCTGGGATCAAGCCCGGCGTCGGGCTCCTTGCTCAGCGGGGAGTCTGCTTATCCCTCTGCCCCTACCCCTGGCTTGTACGCTCTCTCTCTAATAAATAAAAATCTTTAAAAAAAAAAAAGTATAAAAAAGTTAAAAAATATATTTTTTTAATTTAAAAAATGAAAGGATTTAAGTAGGCATTTTTAGGGAAAAAACACAACACAAATGAGCAATAAGCCCATGAAAAGATGCTTAGCATCATTAGGGAAATACAAATCAAAACTACAGGAGGATCTGCCACATCAAACCCACCATGAAAGGCAGTAATAAAGGGACAGTTACAACTGTGGACAAGGATGTGGAGGAATTGGAACTGCAAGGGGGGGGGGGATGGAAAATGGTGTAGCTCCTTCAGAAAGCAGTCTGGCAGGTCTTCAAAATGTTGAACATAGAATTAACGTGAGTCAGCAATTCAACTTCTACATATCTACCCAAGAAAAATGGGGGGAAAATGCATACAAACTTGTACACAGGTGTGCATTGTGGTATTGGTCATTGCCCCCAAACGGAAACAACCCAGATGTCCATTAGCTGGTGACTGGATGAGCAAGCAGTGGCCCGTCCATACATACGATAGGTATTAGTCTACGGTGAAGAGGAATCTAGTACTGACACATGCTACAACATGGATGAGCCTCAAAAGCATTATGCTAAGAAGCCAGATGAAAGACCACATAAGGGCGCCTGGGTGGCTCAGTTGGTTAAACGACTGCCTTCGGCTCAGGTCATGATCCTGGAGTCCCGGGATCAAGTCCCGCATCGGGCTCCCTGCTCAGCGGGGGGTCTGCTTCCCCCTCTGCCCTCTGCCCTCTTCCCTCTCGTGCTCTCTGTCTCTCATTCTCTCTCTCTCAAATAAATAAATAAAATCTTAAAAAAAAAAAAAAAAAACCTTAAAAAAAAAAAAAAAGAAAGAAAGACCACATAATGTGTGATTCCATTTATGTGAAATGTCTAGAATGGGCAGATCCGTAGAGACAGATAGTAGATGGGCAGTTGCCTAGGACTGGCTGCTGGATGGGGCTGGGGCTGGGGCTGGGGCTGGATTAAAATGGCAGCAGTGACTGCTAGTAGATACCGGGTTTCTTTTGGGGAATGATGAAAATGTAAAATTAGATTATAGTGACAGTTGCACAGCTCTGAATTTGCTAAAAAAAAAGAAAACATTGAACACTGAATTGAACATTTATTTTTTTAAGATTATTTATTTGACAAAAAGAGGGCATAAACAGGGGGAGCTGCAGACAGAGGGAGAGGGAGAAGCAGGCTCCCTGCTGAGCAAGGAGCCCAATGTGGGGCTCGATCCCAGGACCCTGGGATCATGACCTGAGCTGAAGGCAGACACTTAACCAACTGAGCTACCCAGGCGTCCCTGAATTGAATATTTAAATCAGTAAACTTTATGGTCTGTATCAATAAAATGGGGCAGGGCGTGGGAGACTTAGGGCTTCCACAGGGAGAAATTCCTCCCTTGCCCAGCGGAAAAGACCTGGGCTGGCAGGTCATTGACTAAGCGGAACTTGGGGGATCTAGTGGCCTTGGGCCACCTCCAGCGCAGCAGCTAAAGATGGACTGAGCAGGAACTGAGCCGTGGAGGGGTGGGAATCCCAGGAGCCCTGGGGTATGGGCGGGGAGCAGGATAGATCCACGGCTCCTGTGTTTAAGGGACATGCCATGTATCCTGATCCCCGTCTTCCCAGAGCAGAAGAGATGCGCTGCCATCAGGCCGCTAGGGCCATATGATCCCCTTCTTATGGAATCCCTGCACCCCAGACCTCTGCTGAGTGAGTCCGTGCTCCCATCCAGGGAGTGCCCCACCTTGAGGTACTGGAACAAGTGTGGGAGAGGGTGGCTTGGTGTTACAGAGATAGGAGACAAGTCCATCAGCATTTGCAGGACCCCACTCTTTGTCCTGTCCTTCACTGGGGGCCTGGGTAGGACTGCACCTCTTTCTGCCCCTAGGAGCCCTGGGTGGAAGGGCCATTGGAGCTCCCCTCAGATCCCAGATTCTCAATGACCTGCCTGCTCTCCCTGCTCCCCAGCCGACCCAAGGCATGTCCGGGTGTGGGCTGTCCCCTGGTGGCGAGACAAGGAAGGAGCCACACATTCCTTCTCACATGCAAGGTGGGTGGCATCCTACAGGCTGTGACAGGCCAAAAGGAGTAAGTGACCCTGGAGGTATTCTGGGGTGCATAGGCAGAAGGTCAGGCTGGCTAGAAACAAAAGAGGAGACAGATGGAGAATGGAGAGCCCAGCTCCCTTGTTCCACACACGTTAACTGAAAAAGTGTGTCATGGTAAAATGATCAGACAGTACAAAAGGCCCTATGATAAAAGCCTCCCTCCCACCCTGAGAGTCCCAGTGCTCCACCCAAGGCAGCCACTGTTTCCATGGCCTTTTTTGGGGTTTAAAAACACAAATGGGAGGGCGCCTGGGTGGCTCAGTTGGTTAAGCAACTGCCTTCGGCTCAGGTCACGATCCCGGAGTCTCGGGATCGAGTCCCACATCGGGCTCCCTGCTCGGCGGGGAGCCTGCTTCTCCCGCTGACCCTATCCCCTCTCATGCTGTTTCTCTCTCTCTCTCTTAAATAAATAAATAAATAAATAAATAAATAAATACCACAAATGGGAGATTGCTATACCCACTAGTTTGATCTTTAAATATAAATATATAGTTTGCAGAACATTAACACAACACATTGTCCTCATCCTTTTTTTTTTTTAAAGATTTTATTTATTTATTTGAGAGAGAGAGAATGAGAGACAGAGAGGATGAGAGGGAGGAGGGTCAGAGGGAGAAGCAGACTCCCTGCCGAGCAGGGAGCCCGAAGCGGGACTCGATCCCGGGACTCGATCCCGGGACTCCAGGATCATGACCTGAGCCGAAGGCAGTCGCTTAACCAACTGAGCCACCCAGGCGCCCCAATCCTCATCCTTTTTTTTTTTAGCGAATGATATTTTATCCACTTGATGTACCTTAATTTCTTCAGCCAGCCCCCTCTTGTCCTCAAAGAGTTCCCAGCCTGGTTGGCAAGATGAGCAGAGACAGTGTGACTTGTCCGGAGTAATCCATGAAGCTCCTGCCCAGCATCCATGAGCTCAGGCCTTGAATGTGCTACCAACCCCCTGGAAGGTGTCCCTAATCTTTTGCTGCTGCCAGCAACCGCCACCACTCTAGATGAATCCAGATCCCATAGAGAGGCACCCTGACCTGACAACCTGCAGCCCAACTCCCCCAACCCTCGTGTGCCATAAGATTCAGAAACGCTGGTAAAATGGTCCTGGGAGGAAAGTCTGACAAGTCTTACCTAGAGCAAAGACTGTTTGGAGGAGAAATTGGAGGGGAGTGGAGAGAGGCCCAGGGGCTATAGACTATGGACCCAGGAGGGCACAGCTCTCTGGGCTAGTCTTGGAGCTGCTCCCTGGGAAAGGGTGGGAACCTTCTGATACCAGGAACTGACTGGAAGCAGGGCTGCACCTCCCGCAGGAGCTGCTCACTGAGCTGGGAACAAGGCAGGGGGACTGCAGTTTGTGTCTGTGGCTGGGCAGGGGGCAGAGGAGCAGGGCAAGCTCGGTGGACTCCTGTGTTCTCTTTCAGTTCAGGCTCTGGATTCTCTGCACTGGCAACTCTTCCTCTGACCCCTCTCCTTTCTCTAAGCAGTTTCACTCAGGCCTGACAACCGGGAAAAAGCTACATATGCCTCCAAAAGGACCCAGAATCCTCTTAGAAAGTGTGTTCCTCCCGAAGGGCCCACCACTTCATGCCACCACATAGCTTCACCTGACCCCACCGTGCCCAAGCAGACAGCCTAAAAAGTTGCGTCATTTGGGAACGGTGGCAAGAACGCTGGTCTGGGAGTTAGGAGGTCCGGGTTCTAGTCCTAGACATGTTCTCCTGCTAATTACTGATCTTGTCCAAGTCACTTCCTTTCTCTGGCCCTCAGTTTCCCAATATGTACAATGAAGATATGGGCTCTGCCTGTCCCACTTCGGCTACCCTTTAAGCATCAAATGGAGAGCCCTTACCTGCCCCCCAGCCCGCCCTGCCCCACCACGGCCAGTCCACGCTCACATGACCCATCTCTCCAACTTCCTGAACTTTTAGTTCCTCAAATCTGCCCAGCTCTTTCTTTACCCTTTTCACAGTCTTCATATATACATTTTATCTGCCGGGAATGCTCTCTCCTCCCTCTTTCCTAGTCAATCCCAATTTAATTCATATTAAATGTTGCTTCCTTTTGGAAGCCTTAGGCTGGGTAACTTTGTATTTCTTCACAGCATCACAACTTTATGTTAGGGTGGCCAGTGTCCTGGGCAAAGAATTGCAACAAGCAGGACAGAATTTATTGTCCAAGGGAGGAGAGGGGCCAGACATTCCAAGAGAAGTCACCGGAGTTTCTGTCAGGCTGGGTCTTTTAAGGTTTTTTTGTTTTAAGGGGTTTTGAAGGATGTGAGAGGGTCACATCTGTGTCCATGGGGTGGTGGGATGGGGGGGTGTCAATTCTTGGCCAGGTAAAACAGGAGGTGGCAGGTTCTTTGAGGAGCTCTGTCCCGGGCTCATCCGGGATATGGGTTGTGGTCAAACTAGAGAAGAATATGTTTTGTAGTTGGGGTCTACTTTCCTAGAATGGAGGGCACCATAACCTAGAAGAACAAAGTTAGGGCCAAGTGCAGACACCTGTGAGTTTTGTCTGTAAGCTTTGCTGGGGCTGGGGGTGGACTTTGAATGTATTCAATTTTTTTTTAGGAGTAAATTTATTTATTTAGAGCACATGAGCGGGGAGGGGGCAGAGGGAGAAGGAGAGAGAGAAGCTCAAGCAGACTCCCTGCTGAACCCCATGTGGGGCCGGATCTCACAACCCTGAGATCATGACCTGAGCCAAAATCAAGAGTCAGAGGCTTAAACGACTGAGCCACCCAGGCCTCCGGATTCCTTTCAGCTTATGTATTTGGTTTCTAGGTTTTCCCTAGAGGAGGGTGGCAGTGCCTGGTACAAAATAAAACTCCAAATAAAAATATCTGTTGGACAGTTGCCTGGATGGAGGACAGCGAATTACATGTGAAAGCTCTTCAGGTACAACAGTACCTGAAGGCGCTTGTGAAGGGCAGCCGGTCACAGCCCGGGCTTTTGATGACACGGGTCACGCGCTCCCACACCACGTGCGGTCAGGAGACACCCTCGGGGCTGGGGTCTGGGACCCGGAAGCGCGGTCTTCCCAGAGCGGGCTGGCGCGCCACCTTCTGTGCCACGTGGTCTGAGGCCCGCAGCTGGTTGGACGCGGGTCGCCCCGCCCCCTAGTCAAGGCGCAATTGAAGCTCCGCGGGGCCCCAGCCCGCCCGAGACCGCAGGAACATGGAGGCAGCCGCTGTGGCGGCGGTCCTGGGCTTCCTGCTCCTGGCCGCCGCGGGCGGCTCGGCCGGGGACGAGGCCCGGGAGGCGGCGGCCGTGCGGGCGCTGCTGGCCCGGTTGCTCGGGCCCGGACCGGCGGCCGCCTTCTCGGTGTCGGTGGAGCGCGCCCTGGCGGCCGAGTCCGGCCTGGACACCTATCGCTTGAGCGGCGGCGGCGCGGGGGCGCGGGTACGGGTGCTCGGCTCCACCGGCGTGGCCGCCGCCGCGGGACTGCACCGCTACCTGCGCGACTTCTGCGGCTGCCACGTGGCCTGGTCGGGCTCTCAGCTGCGCCTGCCGGAGCCGCTGCCCGCCGTGCAGGAGGAGCTGACCGAGGCCACGCCCAACAGGTACGGGGCGCGCCGGGTCCCACGCCGCTCGCGGCCGCCACCTGCCTGCCGCCTCCCGCCCCCGGGCGCCCGCCTCGCAGAGTCCCGGCCCCGCCCCGCGCCACCTACTGCGCCGGGACTGATGGGGCGCTGGGCTTAGGGTCGCTCTGCCTCCAAAAGCCGGGTGTCCTTGAATAAGTCAGCCTCTCAGAGCCCCAGCTGGGTCACTGAAAAATGGAAATAATGACATCTGTCGCGCAGTGTTGGTCGTGAGGATTTGCACCGTGACGGGCGTAGACTTTGTGGTGCATAATTAGGGACCAGAAAATGCTATTCCTTTCCTTCCACCTTCTGTTGGAAGATGCCCACCAAGGAATGACACCCACCCCCTCACAGCCTCGGTTCTGGCGCGTGTCCCACCGCAGGGAGGTGGTGTGTTCACACACCTGTCTCCACATTGGCTGTGGGGAGAGGGACCCCCCCTTTCCAGGACAGGGACCTATGTTGCCATAGAGCGCTTAACCACTGTGCAGAAGGGGTCTCTCGAAGAGTTGACTGGAAATGCAGTGTGCTCTCCCAAATACCTGCCTGGTACAGCCGGGGGGCACCTCAGAAGCTCCCATATTGATGCGGACAGGCGGACGCCCCGTATGGGAGGCCCTCAGGCCCCTCATAAGCAGGTTCTTGGCTTTTGGGGAGAAAGATTCAAGAGCAAGCTGCTTAGAGAAGGGAGAAAGATTCATTAAGTCTAGAAGTAAGAAAGGTGCTATTTCACAAAGTAGCCATCTCTCCCAGATGAGGAAGAGGACACCCCTTTGCCTCTAACGAAGGGTTTTTTATAAGTTTTTCAGATTAGCTATCCGTATAAGGAGAGGCTTACTTTTTAACTTTGGGTGTTTTTAAGATTTTATTTATTTATTTATTTATTTATTTATTTATTTATTTATTTATTTATTTGAGAGAGTGAATGAGCAGGAGCAGGGGGAGGGGCAGAGGGAGAAGCAGACTCCCCGCTGAGCAGGGAGCGCAATGCTGGGATTCCATCCCAGGACCCTGAGATTATGACCTGAGCCAAAGGCAGACGCTTAACTGACTGAGCCACGCTGGCACCCCTAAACTTTGGGTTTAATCTTTACTTTGGGTGGTTAATTTTTCCATTGTGTTGGGGTTGTGATTGGGTTGTGGAATTACCCATGGGGAGCAATTTTAAGAATGTCCAACCCTTGTGGCTTTTACTGCTGGAGGAAGTGGGGTCTTGTAGTTTTCCATGAGTGGGATCTTGTGACTCTTTTTATGACCTGCTGACTTTTAGGTTAAGGGTCAGTCTAAAACCAGAATGCCTTTATTTTGGCCGCCTTGTCTCCCTAGCCTCTCTTCCCTCCTGCCTCAGTACTGAGTCTCAGTGCCACCTGGGATGGGTCCTGGAGTGAAGCAGTAAAGGGGCCACAACCCCTCCCCTCTGGGCTAGATCTGGGGAGGGGGGGTTGTTCCGGGGCAAGGGACCCTCAGAGTTGGGGGACGTCCCCTCTGCCCCCAGGGACATGCTGCAGCTCATGACCCCACCCGCAGGTACCGCTATTACCAGAATGTGTGCACGCACAGCTACTCCTTCGTGTGGTGGGACTGGGCCCGCTGGGAGTGGGAGCTGGACTGGATGGCACTGAATGGCATCAACCTGGCACTGGCCTGGAGTGGCCAGGAGGCCATCTGGCAGCGGGTGCGTTTCCCCCCACCCCGCCCCATGTTCCTGTCTCCCCACAGCTCAGGGTCTGACACACAGAATAAAAACTTCAGAAGTGTTTGTGGTGTGCATGATGGCCCCAGCTCTCTGGAAACAGGCTTCCAGTGCTGAGCTGAACACAGAGGAGCACTTCCTGGGGGCTGGACCCCAGCACCCCACTAGAAACGCTAAGGAGTTGGGCTCCCCTCTCTCCCCCCCCCACAGCTGGTCAGGCTGCTGCTTCCATGGATTCTGTCTCATCCTCTTCATCCTTATTCATGACTCCAGTGCAGGCTCTTGCCCCCTCTCCTTGAAGGACTTCCCCCCCACACACACGCACCCACCCAAGAGCCTTTGAACAGGACTCCTGGCTCCTAAGTTCCACCAGTGTCCTTTCTGAGATGCAGATCTGGTGGAGACCTGCTGCTTTCAACACTCAGGAGCTCCTCTCAGTTTCAGGCTTTGCCCTGCCTGGGCCCTTCCATGCCTGGGCCCTGAGGGTTCTTGCTGCTGGGGGCTGGGTGGGGGGTTGCTCTTTAGTCTCCCTGCAGAGCTGGCCTCACCCCTCATTCTAGGTGACCTTGTTCCGTGAGGCCTTCTAAGGCCCCTTTCCCGTTTGGGGGAGAGCCCCTTGGTGCCTCCCCTCACCCTTGCAGCAGAGCTGACTGATTAGTAAACTCACCTGTTCACAGGTCTGTTTCTCCTGGACTGTGAGCTCCTGGCAAGGGTCACGTTTTGTCTTAGTAACTCTAGGGCTCAGCACAGAGAAGAGATGAATAAGTGTTGAGTGAATGAATTAATGAACGGGGATGAATGTATTTATGTGTGGGGATCACCCTCCTCCTCAGGTGTACCTGGCCTTGGGCCTGACCCAGTCAGAGATCGATGAGTACTTCACAGGCCCCGCCTTCCTGGCCTGGGGGCGCATGGGCAACCTGCACACCTGGGGCGGCCCCCTGCCCCGCTCCTGGCACCTCAAACAGCTTTACCTACAGGTAAAAGGACGGGGAAGGAAAGGGGGCAGAATTGGACAGTGCTACATTGTCCTGGGCCAAGGAGGGTGGTATTTGGCTAGCCTCGGGGCTCTTAACTAGGCCTTGGGGACTCTGTGTGCCCCGGCGGGGGGGGGGGGGGGGTGAGGGCCTCCCACCTTAGGGCCACGCCCACCACCTCCCCCTCCACTCTGCCCCCCTCCCCCAGCATCGGATCCTGGACCGCATGCGCTCCTTCGGCATGATCCCGGTGTTGCCTGCCTTTGCAGGGCACGTCCCCAAGGCTCTCACCAGGTAACGTTCCCATCCTTCCCTCCATCTTGGCTCAGAGAGGGAATTTATTTTTCCCTGCAAGACGTGATTTAAAGAAAAACTGAAGTTCTGGATGGAGGCCTGGGCTTGATTGCTGGCCTTCCTCTCCTGTGGCTGGGAAAATTCTTCGAGGCCCAGCTGAGACCTCCCCTCCTTCGGGTAGCCTTGCTGGGGCCCCCAGCCTTGGTTAGCACCTCCTTCATGCCCATGAGCACCTGCTTCGCACCACTGTCACAGGGCTTGCCAGGGCTCAGAGCAGAGGCGGCACTGGGCCACATCTTGAAAAATGAGTGTTGCTTGTTTCAGCCGGTGGGAGGGGGAGAGAGCAGAAGCTTTACAGATAAGGTGAAACTCAAAGGATGTTGAGGAGTAACCAGCTACAGAAGCAGAGAGGGAGGAGGAAAGGACTCCAGCCACAGGGGGCACAGTCTGTGCAAAGGCACGGAGGCATGAGAGAGTGGGATGAGTTCTGGAAACTGCAGATAAGCCAGTGAGGCTGGTGGTGAATACTGTGTCAGCCTCCAGTAAATGTTTGGATTGCCGCCTCCTCCCCTGCTAGGGTGTTCCCTCAGGTCAATGTCACCCAGCTGGGCAGCTGGGGACACTTCAACTGCTCCTACTCCTGCTCCTTCCTCCTGGCTCCGGAGGACCCTCTATTCCCTATCATTGGGAGCCTCTTCCTGCGGGAGCTGACCAAAGAGTTTGGCACGGATCACATCTATGGGGCCGACACTTTCAACGAGATGCAGCCCCCCTCCTCGGAGCCCTCCTACCTTGCGGCAGCCACAGCCTCTGTCTACCAGGCCATGATCACAGGTTTGGTGCCAGGGGGAGCTGGGAAGGGGAGCCTCCCTTCACCCTCGGGGACATGGGTGTGGCAGAGGTCAGTGGGGTGGGAAGAGACAGCACCTGACGGTTGACCAAGCACTTGTACACACACATCTCACTTAACCCCACTGCGGTTCGGAGGTAAGCTCTGGAGCCAGACAGCCTGCTCAGACCCTGGCCTGTGTGACTTGTAACAAGTTACCTCCCACCCAGTGCCTCAGTGCTTCTTCTGTAAAATGGGGCTACTGGGGCTACCTCATAAGCAGAATGATGCCTGGCCCAGAGGAAAGTGCCATTAAGTGCTGGCTATTGCAAGTATTTCATTTGGCCTCTGCCTCCGAGCCGAGGGAGGTAATGCGGGCCAGAGGTTAGGGGATGTGTTCAAAGCTGGTGGGTGCCCTTCCTGGTGCTCAAGGAATCCAGTGCTCCTTCCTGCCAGTTACAAGGGAGGGGCAGAGAGGGGTCAGGTCAGCAGTGGCTGGGTGGGGAGGCCTCCGTGTCAGCCAGGAAGGGAACCCACTTGGTCCAGGACCCGTGGCCTCAGCCTCGTCCCAGAGCCTGTCAGGTCTGCATATTCTCCTAAATCAGAACGACCTGGGCTTGGGCCCAGGGATCTGTTTTTTGGGTTTTTTTAAATTTTATTTATTTATTTGACAGAGAGAGAGAGAGTGAGAGCAGGAACACAAGCAGGGGGAGTGGGAGAGGGAGAAGCAGGCTTCCTGCGGAGCGGGGAGCATGATGCGGGGCTCGATCCCAGGACTCTGGGTTCATGACCTGAGCTGAAGGCAGATGCTTAAGGACTGAGCTACCCAGGCACCCCCCCACGGATCTGTTTTAAACAGCCTTCTGGGTAATTTTGATGCTTCATAAAGCTTGCCCACCCTGCCCTAGAGCTCCCAGCTGGGAGGAGGAGGCGGCGATGGGAAGGGGGGGTGTGATGCAGTGCCCTGTGGGTTGGGGGTTACAGAGGAAGGAGCGGTCTGTGATTAGAGTCATTTAACTTCTCTGGACCCCCGTTTCCTCATCTGTAGAGTGGGGTGAACGTTGCCCTGCCCTCTCTCCTCTCATCAGTCCGCTTCTCTGTCTCCCTACCCCCGCGCCAACCACAGTGGACCCCGACGCCGTGTGGCTACTCCAAGGCTGGCTCTTCCAGCACCAGCCCCAGTTCTGGGGGCCGGCCCAGGTGAGGGCCGTGCTGGGGGCGGTGCCCCGTGGCCGCCTCTTGGTTCTGGACCTGTTTGCTGAGAGCCAGCCCATGTACGTCCGAACGGCCTCCTTCCACGGCCAGCCCTTTATCTGGTGCATGCTGCATAACTTTGGGGGCAACCACGGCCTGTTCGGGGCCCTGGAGGCCGTGAACCGGGGCCCTGCAGCGGCCCGCCTCTTCCCCAATTCCACGATGGCAGGCACGGGCATGGCCCCTGAGGGCATTGGCCAGAACGAAGTGGTCTACGCCCTCATGGCCGAGCTGGGCTGGCGGAAGGACCCGGTGGCCGATTTGGAGGCCTGGGTGACCGGCTTTGCGACCCGTCGGTACGGAGTCGCCCACAAGGGTACAGAGGCCGCGTGGAGGCTGCTTCTCAGGAGCGTCTACAACTGCTCCGGGGAGGCCTGCAGCGGGCACAATCGCAGCCCCCTGGTCAGGAGGCCATCCCTGCAGATGGTCACCACCGTCTGGTACAACCGCTCCGATGTGTTCGAGGCCTGGCGCTTGCTGCTGACGGCCGCTCCCGCCCTGGCCGCGAGCCCCGCCTTCCGCTACGACCTGCTGGACGTCACTCGCCAGGCGGCCCAGGAGCTGGTGAGCCTCCACTACGGGGAGGCCAGGACCGCCTACCTCAACAAGGAGCTGGTTCCCCTGCTCAGGGCGGCAGGCACCCTGGTCTACGAGCTTCTGCCTGCGCTGGACACAGTGCTGGCGAGTGACCGCCGCTTCCTGCTGGGCGGCTGGCTGGAGCAGGCCCGGGCGGCCGCCGTCAGCGAAGCCGAGGCCCGTGTCTATGAGCAGAACAGCCGCTACCAGCTGACGCTGTGGGGGCCCGAGGGCAACATCCTGGACTACGCCAACAAGCAGCTGGCGGGGCTGGTGGCTGACTACTACACCCCGCGCTGGGAGCTCTTCGTGGACATGCTGGTCGTGAGCCTGGTCCAAGGCATTCCCTTCCAACAGCACCAGTTTGACGAGAACGCCTTCTGGCTGGAGCAGACCTTTGTCTTCGGCACACGGAGGTATCCCAGCCAGCCCCAAGGTGACACTGTGGACCTGGTCAAGAAGCTCTTCCTCAAATATTACCCGCGGTTGGTGGCTGGCTCCTTGTGACAGATGAACCACCCCTGGGTGGTGTGCTTCCCAAATTCCAGGCCTGGGCAAAGGAACTCAAGACCTGCCAGAGGACCAGGCATGGGAAACTGGGAGGGAGGTGAGCCGCCCTCCTCCGCCACCCCAAGTTTGGGATCAAAGTACTATTTTAATACAACTTAATAAACTGGTGAATCACCTGGGCCTATCTGTCACACTGTCACTACCATGATGCCTGGGAGGACTCGGGGCTATAGGATGGACACTGGGGTGAGGCTCTTTCTCCCTGCCCCCTTGCTTTGGCCTCCCCATTTCTGATACTAACACCCGACCTTGGAACTGGGAATGCCCTGCCAAAACGTTTACTTTCACACCCTCAGCAGCAAACTTTGGAACCTATAATTGTCCCAGTGGGGCAGAGGCACACCCAGGGAAGATGTGCCCAGGGCACTTAGTGCCCACATGAGAGCCCACATCTCCTAGTTGCAAAGCTTTGCCCGGCTTCTGACCAGCCACTGAAGAAGGGGTATTCCAAGCATCTCTGCCTTGACCAGCAGCAGGATGGGGAGAGTAGGCCCCAGACCCGAAGGAGGGCTCAGCCTTGAGATTAGGCTGGAGACACAACAAGGGGTGGGGACCGGGCAGGGGCGGAGCAGAGCAGGTGGTAATCTAGCTCAGAGACCCGAGCCTTGCACTCCCCACACTCCTCTCCCCATGGACCGCACCGTGGTGCTCATCACTGGCTGCTCCTCCGGCATTGGCCTGCACCTGGCCCTGCGTCTGGCATCCGACCCCTCGCGGAGCTTCAAAGGTATATGAGGGGCTGGGATGGAGAGAAAGGAGCAGCCCAGATCCAAGGGGACCCAGGTAGGGGTAAGCAGGGAATTCAGATCCTCCTCTTCTTCCGGTACCTCCAGTGTATGCCACGCTGCGGGACCTGAGGGCGCAGGGCCCGCTGTGGGAGGCGGCCCGGGCCCGAGGGTGCCCTCCTGGCTTCCTGGAGACATTGCAGCTGGACGTGAGGGACGCAGACTCTGTGGCCGCTGCGCGGGCACGCGTGACCGAGGGCCGCGTGGATGTGCTGGGTGAGCCTCCCCGCAACACGTGTGCAGGAGCCTTTCCGGCGCTGTGTCCAAACCAAAATGTCCCGAGGCCCAGGGACCTACTGGGTCCGAGGACAGAGAGGCAGGCAGGGCCCGACTTCTCTCCCCTCAGTGTGTAATGCGGGGCGGGGCCTGCTCGGGCCGCTGGAGGTGCATACGGCTGGCGCCGTGGGGTCCGTGCTGGACGTGAACGTGGCGGGGACGGTGCGGACACTGCAGGCCTTCCTGCCCGACATGAAGCGCCGCCGCTCGGGACGCATACTGGTGACGGGGAGCATGGGCGGCTTGATGGGTGCGTGGAATGGGGCGGGGCCAGTGGGAGGGGCGGAGCCTGGTGGCAGGGCCACGGGCTGCAGTGGGCTCCTGGTGGGAGACCCTCCCAGACGCGCATCCAAAGCCTCTTCTCCCCTCGAAGGGCTGCCGTTCAACGCCGTTTACTGCGCCAGCAAGTTCGCGATCGAAGGTCTATGCGAGAGTCTGGCGGTTCTGCTGCCGCCCTTCGGGGTCCAGTGAGTCACCGCTCCGCCCCCGGGACCCCTGACCCCTGACTTTGGGAACTCCAGCACCCTGTCCTGTTGGAGCCTCTCTCAGGCGTTCTCCCTGGCCCCTCCCCACTGCGGCTCACATTTACTGTGTGCCAGGGCACTTGCCACTCGTTACCGCACCTCTGCTGCCATCCAGCTGGGAAGCTCGGCCCGAAGAGGTTAGGTGACTGGCCCAAGGTCACACAGTAAGGGAGCCTGCCACGTTGGAATTCTGATGCAAATCCTCACACGCCCGAATGGCTGTGGGGAGGGGCGCGGGGGGGGAGGCAGGGGTGCTTTTCGGGCAGTGAGCCCCTTTTCAAAGGCTCTGGTTACTCGGTGCCCGCCACCGTCGCACAGACCCCCGCCCCTCCTGCCCCGCCCTGCCCGCCTTGCCCTGACGGGCGGCGGGGCTGGGGGTCCCGCCCGCTGGCTGCGCCCCCGCCCACTCGCCCCTCTGGCCCGCAGCGTGAGCCTCATCGAGTGCGGCCCGGTGCGCACCGCCTTTCTGGAGAAGCAGGAGGGCGTCCCGGGAGGGGCGCTGGACGGCGCGGACGCCGAGACCCGGGTCCTCTTCTCCCGCTACCAGCGCCATTTGGAGCGGATCTTCCGCGAGGCGGCGCAGGACCCGGAGGAGGTGACCGAGGTAGGCGCCGGGCGCGGCCCCGGGACCAAGGACGGCGCGCGGGGGGTGGCGGCCAGCCCCCGGCCAGCGCGCCTCCCTCCGCCGCCGCAGGTCTTCCTCGCCGCGCTGCGCGCCCCGCGTCCCGCGCTGCGTTACTTCAGCACCGAGAGCTTCCTGCCCCTGGCGCACCTGCGCCTGGCCGACCCCAGCGGCTGCAGCTACGTCGCCGCCATGCACCGCGCGGTGTTCGCCGACGAGCCCGCGGAGGAGGAGACGGCCTCGGACCGCGGCGGCCCAGTGCTCTGCGCCCCTCCCGCCGCCGCCGCCCCGCAATAAAGTCTTGGCCCGCCGCTGTCTGCCGCTCTCTCCTTTGTGCCCCAGGGGCGCGCGGCTCCGGGGGACGGCGCCAGGCGGCCGGCTCACCGCACCTGTGCGACAAGTGGCGCGTGCACGGGTGGGTGACCTGGAAAGATCATGGTTAGCCCGGGTTATGCCTATGCGGAAACCGAGGCCCAGAAAGGGGAAGGAGCTAGTCCGCGGAAGGGCAGGGTGGAGAGTGGTCCCTGGAGTCTCACGGGGTGTCTGCAGCAGGAGTTAGGTGGACCTGGGAAGGCGGAGAGTAGGGGTATGACTTGACCCCCACTAGTCATGGGACCTCAGGCAAGGGCCTTATCCTGAGTCTGTTTTTTTTTTTTTTTTTTTTTTAAGATTTTATTTATTTATTTTACAGAGAGGGTTAGCGAGAGCAGGAACACAAGCAGGAGGAGTGGGAGAGGGAGAAGCAGACCCCCCACTGAGCAGGGAGCCCGATGCGGGGCTGGAGCCCGATGCGGGGCTCGATCCCAGGACCCTGGGATCATGACCTGAGCCGAAGGCAGATGATTAACGACTGAGCCACCCAGGCGCTACTCTCAGTCTGTTTTCTTATCTGTAAAATGGGTATAAGACCTATGTCATGGAGTGTATGAAAGGATTAATTGAGGTAATGTCTGGAAGTGCTGGGATAGAGGTCTTATTATTTTCTTTTTTTTTAAGATTTTATTTATTTGACAGAGAGAGAGAGAGGACAAGCAGAGGGAGTGGCAGAGGGAGAGGGAGAAACAGGCTCCCCACCAAGCAGGGAGCCTGATGTGGGGCTCCGTCCCAGGGCTCCAAGACCACGACCCCAGGCGAAGGCGGACACTGACTGAGCCACCCAGGTGCCCCTGGGATGGAGGCCTTAACAGCAGGCACCGCTATTATTACTACTACTGGGTGTGTCACTATTGTAATTGTGTTCCTGTGTGGAAGCCAGATGTGTAAAGAAGAAACAAAGCTAAGTGAGTCAAAAGGATACAGCTCCATCCTCCTCTGTTCCCCTGCCCTAGACAAAACTCAGCTGGAGGGATCCTCACCAGCCCAGAAGCTGCCACTCACCAGGAGGTTCAGCTGAGGCTCCAGGCCTGGTGGGTCGGCCCAATGGGCTGTCCTTCCTGAAGTCAGGGGAAGGCGCTGGAGTGGCAGGAGCCAGTGAAAGGGCCAATCTTCTAGGGTGCTGAGGTGGAGTGGAGAATAGGTGGAGACTAGGCCCGGGGTTGCAGGCAGAAGGATAGGTGTGCCCAGGAGATGGGACTGGGGAAGGGACTAGGAGACGGGGAGGGAAATGACCATTTGGAGTGGCCAGGGGCCTGGCTGCTGGAGTTTTGTGTGGAACCTGAGGGGGGGCGGGGAGGAGGCACCGCATCTTGGCACGCTGCTACCTCCAGGTAGTGGTCTGCTCTGGGCCGTTGGACTGCTGGCCGCTTCTGCTCCTGGGACAGGGGACCTCAGCCAGCTCATCCCTGCCTATCCCCCTGCCCTGCTGGCCCTGATGGTTCTGCTGTCCCTTCAGGATCCAGAAAGGCCACAGAAGTGGAAAGGGCCAACGTGGCATGAATCTCTGAGACATAGGCCCTGCTCTCAGAGCCCAGCTCCTGTCCCCCAAGCTGCTCTTTTGCACCCCTGTGTGAGTGTGTGTATGGATGTGTGTGTATGCGCGTGCTCACAAGGTCACCCCTGGGAGGTGGGGACACGATGAGAAAGGCAAAGTGTAATCCCTCCAAATTACATTCATACTTTTTTTTTTAGATTTTATTTTTTAAGTAATCTCTACACCCAGTGTGGGTTTTGAACCCACAACCCCGAGATCAAGAGTCCCATGCTCCACCGACTGAGCCAGCCAGGCTCAGTTAGGTTGACTTGGGAAGGGGGAGAGTCAAACTCTTAATAGTCTCATGCAGTCCCATGACTTTGAAGACCATTTATATGCCGATGAGCCCCAGCAAAGTCTCCAGTATCCCCAACTCCATTGTTTCCCACAAACTCCAGACATACATCTCCAACTCCCTACTCAACATCTCTTCTTGATTCCTAATAAACTTAATGTGTCCAAATGCCAAGTCCATTCCAGCCCCACCACTGCTCTCGCCTGTCTACTTTGCTTCGGTATTTGACAACTGCATTCTTCTTTCTCGCTCATCCCTCAACCAGTTCATCAGCAGGAACCTTCAACCTTCAAAGCAGATTCGGAAATCACCCTGGTCTATGCAGGCACCATCTCCTCATCTGGATTATTGCTGTAGTTTCCTAATTGGTTTCCCTGATGCCACCCCTGCCCACCAACAGGAAAATTTCCACAGAGCACCCAGAATGACCTTTTAAAAATTAAAGTTATTTCATGTCTGTGCTTAAAACACCTCCTGTGGTGTTTTTTACTTTAATTTTAAGTAAAATCCAAGGCTTTTGCCCAAGACCTCCAACACGTTCTTTGATCTGGCCCCCACCTCCTTTCTGACTTTACCTCTCACCACTTCCCATCATCTGATTCAGCCCTGCTGGCTTTCTGCCCCAGGACCTTTGAACTGGCTGTTCCTCTGTCCGGTTCACTTTCCCTAATCTCTGATTATTCTCTTCTTCGAGGTCTTTGCTGTTTCCCTGGACAACCTTATCTAAAATAGCATTCCCTTCCCTCCACTGTAGTCCCCTTACCTTGTTTTATTTTTCTTCATGGCACTCACCATCAATAGATGTGTTATAGATTTATTGACTTACTGACTTTATTGTTATACATTTATAACTTTTACCACCCCATCCCAAGACACACGGGAATCTAAGCTCCAGGGGAGGCCCTTTGTTTTGTTCACTGGTTGATCCCTTGTACCTAGAATCATTCTTGATCATGGGAGACACTAAATTCACATTTACTGAATAAAAATGAGTGTTGGTTCACAACCTGGGCAGTTCTCTGGGTGAAATCTGAAACTGGCCCCTGTACACAGAGGGCAAGGAGAGACAGAAGAAAGAAGCAGACCACTCCAGATTGGTAGGTGATGGGTTTCATAAGCAAGCGAACTGACATACGAGACTTGTCCTGGGCGGTGCAAGATCTCTGCACTTGCCCACCAGAATCTTAAAAGTTTATATAGAAGCCTTCAATAGGTTCAGTCACCTATAATGTCCAGATGGTCTCAACAACATGCTCTCTCAAGGCTCCCACTGTGGGAATATTCTGACAGAGGAGGGGGCGAGGAACCTACAATTGCCTAGGTCCAGCCTGAGTCAACTGGCAGTCACATTTTCTTGATGATCTCCTCCAACAGTGACTCTGTGTGGGACTGTGCTCTGATGTTTCAAGGTACTTCCTGAGAGTCTGTAGTTTGTTTCTTCATTTTGGGTCCTCCCTTTAAAAATCCAACCTAAGGGGGCGCCTGAGTGGCTCAGTTGGTTATGCCATTAGGCGTCTGCCTTTGACTCAAGTCATGATCCCAGAATTCTGGGATCGAGCCCCCATCGGGCTCCCTGCTCTTGGGGAGCCTGCTTCTCCCTCTCCCTCTGCCTGCTGCTCCCCCTGCTTCTGCTCTCTCTCTCTCTGTGTCAAATAAATAAATAAAATCTTAAAAAAATAAAATAAAATCCAACCTAAGGTGTCTCCTGCCATAAGCCTGGCCTCAATGCCTTTGTGGCTCTGTAACTCTTCCAATCCTTAACTCCAGGGGCAGATCCAGGCTCTGTGGGGCCAGAGGCTTATACACCTTTGGGACACCTCTTTATTTTTAAGGAATTTATTTTTAGGTAATCTCTACACCCAATGTGGGTCTTGAATTTACAACCCTGAGATCAAGAGTTGCATGTTCTATTGACTGAGCCAGCCAGGCGCCCCTTGGGACACCTTTTTAGGGTGCTGGGTGGCTCAGTCGATGAAGCGTCTGCCTTCAGCTCAGGTCATGATCCCGGGGTTCTGGGATGGAGCCCCAAGTCTGATTCCCTGCTCAGTGGGGAGCCTGCTTCTCCCTTTCCCTCTGCCCTTCCCCCCCTGTTTTGCTGGCTGTCTCTCTCAAATAAATAAATAAAATCTTTTTTTTAAAAAGGAATACAAAACAAACCCCCATAATTATGAAAATGAGCATTTGTTTAGTTTGGGAAAATAAACCACAGCACATTACTGGAATCTTTGGAAATTGGTTTCCCTCCCTTTTGAGATCTCTGTGGACACTTTATTTGAAATATCTCCTGATGGCAACCTGGCTTCCTCTCCCCAGGGAGACTACCAATTCCAGCCTTTCCCGCCCCAATAGCTTCACAGTAAACCCTTGCCACTAGGTCTCCCCCTCCTCCCTTTTCTCCTGTCTGGAGACCATCCTCTGGCAACTCTACTGAGCTGCCATGCAGAGCTCTCCTCCTCTCTCCCTCAAACTGGTTCTGGGTGGTGTGGAGAGCTCCCCACAGAGCCACAAGACCTCTGCCATTACTTCCTTATATGTTCCTGGAACATAGAGGGCCTCAATTTCCTCAACTGTGAGATGGGGACTCGGACAGAGTTGTCCTGTGGCCTCCTACAGGAGGATCCTCGGACTGGGAGGGCGCCAGGAGGGCTGCGGGGACTCTGAGTCCTGATTTAAGTGCCACCCTGTGACCCCCACCTCTGTAATTTATTAAGAGGAAAGCCAGGTGTTAGTTCTGCCTTTGCCGCTGTCTCCTGGGTGACTGGCTGAAGCCGTTCTCTTTTCTCAGGGTCTAAAGGACATCCGCAAAAACGCTTTCAGGTCCGCCTTGCCCTCCACGCTCCAGATCCCTGTCCGCTGGGATCTGGAAACAAGGCTTCACCCACCTCCCTAGCCTCTGAGTTCGGCCCCGCCCCCTCGGCCGGCCTCGCTCCACCACAAAGTCTCGCGAGATCCCGAACCGAGCGGAGACTTTGGCCTTCCTGCCGTTCCGTAGCTCGGAGAGGCAGCTGCTGAACTAGTGTTTCCGGGTCGCGCGGCCAGGTAAGCCTCCGCGGATGCGCTCGCGGAACCTAAGCCCAGCGGTCTCAGTAAGTAGGGGACCGATCCGAGCCTGAGCGTTTTCCTCTAGTCCCCTCCTTCGAGTCTCTGAAGACCCGGGTACAGCCTGGCAGGAGGGCCCAGGATTTCTGGGTCCCCAGCCTTAGGACTCAGGGGCTCTTGTCCAGCCTAGTTTCCCCGCCTAGGATTTCGATTCAGTTCAGCGACTTCACCGCTCCGTCTGATAATGTGGAAACCGCGGCTTAGGGCATAGCCCCTAGGCGCCGTGTAGCAGGCCCCGTGCCCTTCCCCGGTTTCCTCTGGATCAGCACAGACCCCCGTCCCTGCGCCAGGTCCCCTCCCTTGGGTCCAAGGCCCCAGTTTTCAGCCTCAGCCACATAACCCCTCGGTCACCCACGCCTCGTCTCCCTGGCTGTCCGCAGGCCTGGGCAGCATGGCCGTATTCCGGTCGGGCCTCCTGGTGCTGACGACGCCCCTGGCCTCCCTGGCCCCTCGCCTGTCCCCCATCTTGACCTCGGCGGCCCGGCTGGTGAATCACACGCTCTATGTACACCTGCAGCCGGGCATGAGCCTGGGGGGCCCAGCTCAGCCCCAATCCAGCCTCGTGCAGGCCACGTTTGAGGTCCTGGATTTCATCGCACACCTCTACGCTGGCGCCGACGTCCACAGGCACCTGGACGTCAGAATCCTGCTGACCAATATCGGAGTCAAGAGCGCCTCTCTCCCTTCCCTGCCCAACTCAGTCCAGAACCTGGCCCACCCACCGGAAGTGGTGCTGACTGACTTCCAGACCCTGGATGGAAGCCAGTACAACCCGGTCAAGCAACAGCTGGAGCGTTATGCCACCAGCTGCTATAGTTGTTGTCCCCAACTGGCTTCGGTGCTGCTATACCCCGATTATGGGTCCGGAGAGCTGCCTGTGGAGTCCCTGGATGTCCCCTTACCCTCCACCATCAGGCCAGCCTCCCCCGTGGCCAGGTCTCCAAAGCAGCCAGTGCGTGGCTACCACCGCGGGGCTGTGGGTGGCACGTTTGACCGCCTGCACAATGCCCACAAGGTGCTGCTCAGTGTCGCGTGCATCCTGGCCCAGGAGCAGCTTGTGGTGGGAGTAGCAGACAAAGACCTGTTGAAGAGTGAGTGAGAGAGAGACCCTGGAATAGAGCAGGGAAGACCCTCAAAACTCCTTAACCTCGCCCCCAGTTCATGACTGAGGAAGAGTGGGGCCATCCTTTACTTCCCACCCTCCCAAATGTCACAGCGCCTGGCACTCAGTCGGTGCTAAGGAAATTATGTTAAATGAGTAAGTGTAGCTTTCTCAGTGTGTGGTCTAGTCACCACTCAAATCAGAATTCCCCCAAATGTGGAGCCAAGGAGTCTGCACTTTTAAGAAGTTCTCTGGTGATGAACCCTAAAGATTGAGACCCTGGCAATAAATGGATGAGCGGGTTCTAGGTAGTTGTGCCGGAGACACAGCAAGAGGGGACTCGTGCTTGGGTGGCTCTTGGAATTCTTCATCTGACTCTGATGCGGGCACTGCTCATTCTCTGGGCACAGGCCAGCCCCTGTCATGACTGTTGTGCTCGCTGGCTGCCCCCTCTTCATAGTTCCCCTGACACAGACCACTTCCCAGCTTAGCCCTTTCTTCCTGCCACCCACCCCCATCTGGAGATTGGATGCCTAGGGTCAGTCTTCCCCAAACTTGCCTATACTTTTCCTCCCCAATAAAAAGATCTCACTGTTCTTTTGGGCTCCTTCCCCAGGCAAGTTACTCCCTGAGCTGCTCCAGCCCTACGCAGAACGTGTGGAACATCTGAGTGAG